TAGTATTTTTTGTTTGCACTCGATGCGTATTTCGTTAACTAAGTAGTTCTACATTCCTCTCACATCCACGAATTCGAATATTACTCAAGGGTTGGAACGATGCTACCTAGTACGATGCTCACCTTTTCCAATAGTCCATTACAATCATTTGTTTTGAATACCAACCTGAATACCAAACATCTAGTGCGGGCGAGTTTTAATCATTTATTCTTATTCACTTCTAATCACCGTTCGTTTGGAACGTTATTGTTCAAAAACTGCTCATCAAAAACTAATGAAAAAGGTATCATTGGCAAGAGAATTGAATGCCCTTCAAAATGATGTGCCACTTGACCCCCCTTTCCATTTGAAATTCTGAGGGTAACATCCACCCCTCCTAGGGGGTTGAACCCCGAGGGTTGAAAATATTCATTCAGAGTGTCCCCCTTGCAAATAAAGTTGACCTGTCTGACCATTTTTTTATATTATGTACTGGAAGGGAGTTATTGAGGGTGGGAAGTTTTCAAATTGACACACTGTATATATAGTCGATTCTCAGGAGAAGTTCTGTAATTTTTCAGGTCCTTCAAGTGATGTTGTCCAAACTCCGTCTTCTGCGTCTAGGTCTGAATGGGTAACTTTCAACTAAAGCCCAGTACACACTTCGGAAAGCATATATCTAATGCGAAAGATATAACGTTTTATTTATGTTTCGCATCAAGTCTTCCAGAAAGTTGTCATGTTTTTTGGATTTTCGAAGAAGAAAATGTGGATTTGTACTTAATAATTTATCTCTACTGATAGAAATATCTTTAAATATTTGGAATAATGGAATAAACTAAAAGATATACGTGTAGGTGAACAATTATTTTTCAAAAAGATTAAATATTTCCATTATTAAAATATTGAATTAAATATTTTATTTTCATTCTCCATCAAACAACTGGTTAACTGACATATGAATGAAATCTTTGACGTAGAACATATCTCTTACAACCATATTTAAGGTGGATTAACTTTTACCATATCTTAATGACATTACGTTAATGATTTAACGACTGGGAGGTCAGTTAATTATATCATCAAAATAAAGTTCATACATTATTGAATTCATTATTCTATATAGCAGTTAAAAAACCAAATAAGAACAACATTTGGTTTTCTTCATTGAAAGGAATTTTCATCTTGTCCAAATGGACCAACCAATTTTCATAACAAGTATTTTTATCTGACTTCTTCAATCCCAGATTTTCAATTCAGATTTGGAAATAATGCAAATAAGAGTAACCTTGGCTTTGAATTGTACAGTGCATTCAAGTTAAAACGAGCCACGGTGAATAAGTCATTTGAGAATGAAACTAAAGAAAAACTGCGAAACACGTTAATTTTGGTTTGCCGGCGGAGACATTTTTACAAAGAAATCAACTCCTTGTCAATTACCTACCCTAATTTCCAAAATTTTAAAAGGAAATAATAGTGGAGATGTGAAGGTATATTGAAAGACTCTTCACTCTGCGAAAAAAATAAATAAAATCAGTATCATTTGTTACTCTCATAAGAAAATGGTTCATTCACTCAATTTTTTCCATTTCGAAAAAAAAATCGAAGTTTCAAAAATGACTGATGCCACTACCATTGTAACTTATCGCCCTCTCAAACCACGTTCCAAAATGTACCTTCATGATTTATGATTTTTGTAAAGCAAAAAAGGGTACATGAATAAATATACGACATAACTATTCAATTAGTACTACTCAATCAAATATCGTGATATGAAATGTTTCTTAATTTCGGTACTAACCATCAAATCGATCTCAAAACCAAATTGGCAATGTCGTACGTACAGTCAGAACAACAAGATTACACGAAGGAAAAAAAATTACATAATGCAATATAAATGAATTTTACGGTTTTGCCAAGTTCATATCACATTGTTGTTACTCGATTTTGAGAATACTACTGACAAAAAATTATAAAAAATGTAAAACGAAGGTACTATACATATAGTTTTCACCAATGTGGTTATCCCGTCATCAGTGTAGGTACCTAAAGATCCATTCTATATCCAATCCTGTAGGATATTTGATAAACACTTGGCTGCACCATACTGATGATGGGCCAAAAGCCCGAAACACGTGTCTATGGTTTGCCACTTTCTTGAGTGCTATGTCCGATATTAACTTCTGTTTCTATATCAAGACACTCAATAACTTTATGATCGAGTATAAAAAGTATTCATCATTCGAGTCGACCAACAATGATTTCACGATATTTTTTCCGGGGTTCTTTATGTATGAAAGATTTCAGTTCTTTTTTGAAGCGATGTGGGTTCCTAATCAATTTGATTTCATGTGGAAGTGTTGTATAATTTTGGAGCAAAGTACTTATATGAACGTTGGGATATTAGTTTTTGCATTTGTGGTGTAATATGTTGATTTCGTTGATATGTATCATATTCATGTGTGGGTAATTCAAATTTTTGTTTTTGGTGGTAATACATATTTATTTTCAGGAAAAAGAGTTGGTAGACGTCAAATACACGACATTCTGCATAAAGACATCAGATGGAAAAGTGGGTTCTTTTTTTTAAGATCATTTTTAAAAACCGTTTTTGGAGGACTTCTATAGAATATAAATGAGTTTTTAGGGCACCACCCTATACTAATAATCCGTATCGAAGATGGATGTCTACAAGGGCATAATACAGTAGATAATGTCAGAAAAATAAAATATTAATTTATTTTATAATTCAATTCCAAACTATAAGTCAATCTGAACGCAATCTTACTATCCCAAATTTAATCAAATTACTGCTGAGGTTTTTTATTTTTATGTCGAAATTATTCTGAAATAGTCACTTGTATGTTAGTTTCATTACTACGTTTTTAATTTTGACTGTTTGAACTTGAGTTATCATTTCTTTCTATATCTTCACTTTGATGAAAAATGGTTCATACATTAATGTGTCGACTTAAATAGTGCAAGAGTCACTGCTGGCATTTTTAAGGAGAAACATTTGGGTAGAAATGGTATGTGCGAAAAAAGTGTTCACTTATCTCTATTTTGTATTTATTCAAGATATCCACGATGTTGTATACATGAAGTACCTATTCTGTTCAAAAATATGTGAATGAACTATTTTTAAAGTGAGGGGAGAAAGTCAACACAGGGGAAATTTATATATGCTTTTCAGAGTTGGACTACCATCGGAATCATTTGCTTTTGTTCACTAAGATTCTGCTTCCATTTTGATATTTTTTATTTCTTGCATTCAACTCTTTCTCAATTGAGACCGGGGCCGGTTACTTTAAACCATCACTGTGTATAAGGTACTCCGCTGCCTCCCGTGAATTAAACGACCTATACACGTTACGATTTTTCGTGCTGCTTGCAGTACGATATGCATCGGTACTGCTGCAGTACCGATAAATCATAACATGTGTAGGTAAATTGGGTGTTTTGCAGTATGCAGTCGTCGAATCGTTCGCAGTATCGTATCAACGGTAATGTCTGGGGTGGGGGTTGCAGACAAGTTGGAACGTGTGGAGTTTATTGCTGTGGCAGTTACGATTTTATGTCGTTTAAAGCAAATCATTTAGGGAAAAGGGTTTTATATATTTCATATCATTATAATGGATATGAAGAGTAAGACGTTCTGGAAAGAGTTTATTGCTATATACAGGACTATTCAAATTCGTTTCTGTAGATGGGGATCTCGTAAACGATAAGAGATAGAGTATCGGTTAAATTGTGGCAAAGTTGTGTGTTTTAGAGACATATTCAATGATGTAAAGAAACTGAATATAGCTCTTTTGGTTCTGGAGATATATAGGAAAAACCAAAAAATCCCAGATTATGTTTTGCCTATATCTTCTTTATTCGCAGACATATTGGAAATCTGTCCACATTTTGCTATTGACACTTGATGTAGGCTCTCAGAATATATCCATGAATCTTTTATACAGGGTGTCATCTGACTTGGGCCACCCCCATCTTTGAATTTTTTAATACGGACCTGTATTTTTTGTTGTAGTTTTTGGATCGTAGACGTTCTTCATACTGAGAAATTGAATTAAATTTTATATTTTGTGATGTTTCGGTAATATTCGATTATAATTGTGTCAATTATTCCCTTTTAAATTACGGCCCTGAAAATTGGTTGACTGAGTTGAATAAAAACATTATAGCCACTTTTGCATCTCCCTATGTATCGTAGAGTTTTTTGAGAGTTTTTTTTTTCATTTTTAGGTGCCTATTCATATTTTTTCCATTGCTCTGAGCGTTTTATACAATGAACTTCGAATAAGAAAAACTTTTATGATTATTTGAAACATATCTACATCAAAAATATGTTATATGTGTTTTAATAAGCAGAAAAAAAAATTATAGCAATAATAACATTCGAATAGAACACAATAATTGTAATGAAAATTGAAATGAAGTAATTTATATAGGTACCCAAAAAAATTATTGGCGCAATAAATTTTCGAATTGGAGTCCTTCCATTTCGAGACATTTTCAAACTCGGTTTTCCATATTATTTATTGCCCTTAATACACTTATTTGCTGGATTGTTGCGAAATCATTCAAAATCCTCAATCTCGAGTCTTCCACATTTTCTATCTCTCTGCCAGCGTAAATCCTATTTTTCAATGTCCCCCATAGAAAATAGTCCAAAATAGTAAGATCTGGTAATCGTGCAGACCATCTTATTGTCCCATTATTTTTCTCGAAATGGAAGGATTCTAATTCGAAGATTTATTGCACAATTAATTTTTTTGTGTATATAAATTACTTACTTCATTTCAAATTTCATTATAATTATAGTGTTCGTTACGGATGTTATTATTGCTACCATTTTTTTTCTGCTCATCAAAACACATGAAATATATTTTTGTTGTAGATATTCATAATCATAAAAGATTTTCTTTTTCGAAGTTCTTTGTAGAAAACGCTCAGACCAATGCAAAATATGAATAGGTACCTAAAAATGAAAAAAAAACTCTCGAAAAACTCTACCGTGCATAGAGAGACGTGAAAGTTGTTATTATGTTTTTATTCAACTCAGTCAACCAATTTCCAGAGCCGTAATTTAAAAGGGAATAATTGACACAATTATAATCGAATATCACCGAAAAATCCCGAAATATAAAATTGAATTTAATTTTTTAGTATGAAGAGAACGTCTACGATCCAAAAACTACAACACAAAATACAGGTCTGTATTTAAAACTTCAAAGATGGGGGTGGCCCAAGTCAGATGACACCCTGTATAAAAGATTCATGGATATATTCTGAGAGTTCACATCAAGTGCCTATAGCAAAATGTGAACAGATTTTCAATATGTCGGCGAATGAAGAAGATTTAGGCAAAAAATTAATTTGGGATTTTTTTGTTTTTCCTGTATATCTCCAGAACCAAAAGAGCTATATTCGATTTCTTCACATCATTGAATAGGTCTCTAAAATACGCAACTTTGCCATAATTTAGCCGTCACTCTATCTCTTATCGTTTACGAGATCACCATGTACAGAAACGAATTTGAATAGCCCTGTATAAAGAAAACAGATCCTGTGGGATGTAAAATCAAAAGATTACGCGAATAAAATAAAAAGAAATTCAAGTTACGATATTTTATTTGCAAAATTTAAAGAGTTGTTGCCAAAAGAATCTCAAGAAGTAATGAATTAGAAAATAAACAATATGAAAACTTCCTTCAGACGTGACTTTTGAAAGATTGAAATCTAAACCTCGGCAGTACGAGCTGTTGTGAGGTGTGGATGAAACATGGCGGTACTGCATGCCATACGATTTTCTTTACAATTTGCAGATCAACATGCAGTACGAAAAATCATTACGTGTGTAGGCCGCATTAGTGGTGTCAGAAGCAGATTGATAAAATCCAGATAATAATAAAACATTACCAACCCATCCGGCTTTCCGCGTATATCCAACTTGGTTTGCCTTCCCTTGATTACCTGAACTTATCTAGAAATGACTCAACAATCAACAGACTGATTTAATTGAACTGTTGCGTTGTGAATTACAAAAATATCAATCATTTATAGGTATATGTTGCTTGAGATTTCTGTGGAATAAGGTGAGTACTACCTACCTACCTACCTACCTAAAGAATTTCTTTTCATCACGCGAATGTCCAAAAACAAATAATGAATATTGATCATTTACACATAACCTCAAAATCGTTAACAATAGATTAATTCGGGATATTCGGATCAGGGTGAAAAGAGAGTGATAAATTAGTTTCAAAATACAGAGTAGCATGAGTTTAGATAATAGTTTTACGATACGAAACAATAATTTCAATATTTTTTTTGAGAAGAAATGAAAAGAATTAAAGTTCACATTCATGTTAGGAAGCCCGAAAGAAAGTGACGACACACGAACAAAACACATGGCGTCAGTGTGTCAGAGGCGTAACAAAATGGATGTAATTTTTGTAGAGGACAGAAATATCATCACATTGTTGAGTATATTAACAAAATGTAATCCTGAACCAAGTGATTTGTGAGTGAGTGTGAGTGATTTGATGAGCCGTTTGAAAACGACATTTTGGAAAAAAGTTAATTTTAAAAAAAGACTGCATTTTTTAATGAATGTGATATACTAAATCATCAGGCAGCTATGAATGAAACAATCAAATTCAAACCGTTTTGAGGTATTCAAACTTTTGAAAAGTGGACAGTTGTCTCATTTATTATTTCAAGTATTGAAAAAAAAAAGAAAAAAAAATGAATATGGAAAATATGGAAAAATTGAATAGACCACTGTTGCGAGAGTAATATATTCCTAAGAAATAAAGGGTGTATAAAAAGTTTTCTACTTAATCTAGTTTTCAAAAGCTTCTATTTAATTTGCTATGTATGTATGTATGTCTGTATGTGTGTATATGCGTCTGTATGCGTGCCTGTCGGTCTATCTGTGCGTGTTCGCGTCCGTGTATGCATGTGCGTTTGTGTGTATGTGTGGGCACATGCCACACAATAGTTGTGCGGCCATATGCCACCTAGCAATACGCACGTGTAACCTACCTCGTTTGAGTGTCCATATTTAAGGCCACTGGACTTATTTTAATCGAATCCATGCAGACTGCTGATCACAATGGTACCTACTTCTGAATTTGACTCTATGGTAAAAGGCGTGTGTGAAAGCTGGTATTAGCTCACCAAAAATGTATCTTAGGTGTGTGGTCATCAATTTCGTCTACAATAACATTTGAATTGGAAACTAATTTCAAGGATACTCGATTTATTTAGTTTGCAAAGAGAAATGAAACTAAGTTCACGCAACTTATGTTTTAACGTAACGACCTTGTGAGTTGAAATGTGACATTCATATTTACCCAATGCCAGTAATATCTGAATAACATTTTATCTATGTGACCCATTTTCCGATTCAGTAGGTCATTGAAATATTTATTCTTTTGAATAACCAAATATAACTTTTTTTTAGACTACTTGCAATAATTGCTTGTGTGTCTCTATACGCGTGTTTGTGTGCGTTTATGCGTGTGTACATTTGCGAGCGTATTCATTATATAGTCATTTATATTCTATAACAAACCATAGAAAATATTCATTATGCATACATATACCAACTTGTTTCTAATTTCTGTTTGCATTTCAGTCATACGTTTCTGGAATGTCTTGTAACCTCATTCTACAAGATTTTGGAGGCACCTGCGATCCCGGAAGCAGCATATCTGGATATGTGGTTTGTACATTTCAGTCCAACAAAAATATTCGAGGTAAAACCAATATTTTTATTCCATTTGAATTTGTTTATTTTATTTGTTCAATGTCAAGACAATATAATGTTTTGTCGCCAATATTCAATGAAATTATGTTGAAAGTCGACAAAATTTCAGTTTTTTATCTTGGGGTATTTTCACCTTCAACAATCTGAAAAATATGAAAGTTGTAATGGAGAACTTTATACACGTGTAGAAAGGGTCAACTTTTCACTGCCTCCCGATGAATTATGCGTAAATTCAAAGTATTTTTCACGAAGAAAAATGTTCTATTCATTTTAACACGTTATAATGAATATTGTATAATTTCACAGCTTTTTTTTTGATACCTAAACCAATCTTAGTTGAACTACAGCAAGCGCCAAATGTGATGGCGAGCGATCGCGCAGGTATAGACTATCCCAACTAAATTACTATTGGATTACAATAAGCCCCTTGCCGGCCAGTGTCATACCTATAATTAGTTTCAATTTGGGTAGCAAATGGAACATGGCTTCTTTGTAATTCTATTTCATATTTTGTTTAATAGTACAGTTCATTAAAATGTTTATATATGATTATACTCTTATCCAAAAATAAACTTTAATCAGTCACTATCTGAATGCGAATATTCTTCATCTTCACTGCTGCATGTGCTTGTGCTGCTTTCATCTTTTTAATTTATAATCACTGAATTTACCTCTGTTTCAACGTCTGTGAATGTTTCCTTTTCCCAATATTTCCGCTCTATATCTACTACCAAAATCAAAATCAAAATCAAAATGTTCTTTATTGACTATTCTCCATAGATAGTTCCATATGTTAATTCTACTTCAAACTAAAGTATTCATGCATTAATTTCATTATCCCAAATTCCAATGTTTTGAGTTGACCCGTTCAAAAAATAAAAGGGGGGTGACATTAAAGTATTAATATGATAATGTAAGGAAAGGTTATTTATAAATAAAATATTCTCTTGATTATTTTATGTATGTACATATATTATAGCTACTATGAACCAATTGTCAATTTTTTAGGATTGATAATGTACAAACATAAAATTAGTATCATCCCTTTTAAGCCACGTTCCACATCATCCGGTGAGAGAGGAGGAGCCTGTCATCCGCTGACATCCGTGAGAGAACGAAGCGGTTTACCCTCCCATAAGAAGTTATCACTTCAAAATATTTTCTAGTGGTTAGGAATTTTTGAAAAATCTGCTCTTAACAAATAATATGTTTAGTCATAATGGGAAACTTTGATATCTTATTGCAGGATTGAAAGTGAAAGTTAGAGGTAAAGAATATACTGCATGGAATGAAAGCGAAAGCTACACTGAAAACGGGGAATCGAAAACTAGAGATGTTTCCTACAGCGGCCATAACACATTTTTGAGAATCGATATCGTGCTTCTTGGAGAAAGTAAGTTACAGTATGGTATCCTCAAAAATTAAATGAAAATAAGGGTTGTCATTATTATATATATCATTGAATGTAATAATAATATATTTATTCAATAAAATACATACAGTGAGCGATACACGAAATACTGATAAAGCATTAGAATAAATAATAAATCAATCCAATGAAGGAATAAATCCTTGTGCGTGGTGTCACATATGGAAACATATGGATTTTTTTTATTAATAGATATAATCAGTTAGTGCAAATACGTTACCTGTCGGCAACGCTTTTGTCATTCCTCGGAAGTGATTTGATGAAACTCGTGCTCCAGCAGTTTCCTCACATCTCCCAACTTGAAAGTTAAATTTTTTTGGGACACGTTGTTTTTGACAGTAGCCCAAATGAGTTCAATGGGATTCAAATCCGAATGGTAGGGTGGAAGTATAACTTTATATCCGTGTTCAAGCAGAATCTCATCAAATTTGTATTTAATATGATGCTTTTCATTCACCTCAATCAACTCGTATATTTCGTGTTTGAGCATGTTAGGGCTGATCACAATGCTTTTTTCGTGCAGCCACTTCACCATGTCAGCCTTTCTAAAATTTGAGCTGGGGGCTGGATTAATTTGAATATGGTATGGAGCATTATCGGTCACGACTATCGAATCCACAGGTAAGTTTGGGAATAACTTTTCTTGTAACCATTTACCATAATTTTCCGAATTCATTTCTGAATGATAATCTCCTGATGCTGTACCTGATTTAAATTTAAGCCGACAATTAGGTATTCTACGAAGAGATGTTTCGGAAGCCACAATTCTCAAAACCTCAATAATTTTGTGGTGGAACTTTTTTACCGTAATACGACACCCTTCCGTCTCATGAAAGTCGTAAATTATCTGTCCAATATCGGAATACTCATACTTGGGAATATCAGCGACTGGTGCTCTTCTATGCCTCTTCTTTCTTGGGGTTGAAAATTTTACTTCTCTATTATTTGCAGAAATTAATGGCTCCCCTTCTTCAACTACTCTTTCAATTGTTATTTTTGAAATACCTAATACAAAATAAAGATTTGTGTTGAAATAGTTATTTTTTAATTTATTAATGTTACCTGTAGCGAGAGATGCTCTATTTTTCACATTTGATAACGTATCTGACTCATATTCACCACTTTGAATATAATTCAACACTTTAATAGTTATTTATGTATCAAGGGAATTAGGAGGGCCTTAATTACCGATGGCAAAGTTTGCGTCCCGAGGGCCTCTGGCCCGAGGGACAGCAATTGCCTGAGGTTATTAAGGCTCATTAATTCCCGTNGCGGCCATAACACATTTTTGAGAATCGATATCGTGCTTCTTGGAGAAAGTAAGTTACAGTATGGTATCCTCAAAAATTAAATGAAAATAAGGGTTGTCATTATTATATATATCATTGAATGTAATAATAATATATTTATTCAATAAAATACATACAGTGAGCGATACACGAAATACTGATAAAGCATTAGAATAAATAATAAATCAATCCAATGAAGGAATAAATCCTTGTGCGTGGTGTCACATATGGAAACATATGGATTTTTTTTATTAATAGATATAATCAAAATCTAACTGACTGACATTTTATAACAATTTACGTAATCATGTGGAAGTAGTTTTTTCAAAAGGGCTTTTTTTCAGCCTGTATCTGAAAGAAACTTATGTGCATGATAAACACATATTTGCTAGGAGTTTATTTTGAACTACTTTTTTTCTTCTTCGGAAATATATTGAGATATGGATTGGCATTTACTATATATATGTATATATACGTACTATAGAGACTTCGTCAGAACGAATTGGTAGCGGGTAGAAATATCTCAGTAACTTTGTGGATGATTTGCAGTGCCACTTGTTTGATACGATTATATTGCTTTCTTTGATGGACCGGCATCTTGCATTCTTGAAATTCTCCAACTCTCAGATGACATCAAATGGACTATACTAACTGAAAAGAACATGTGACTTGTGCGTAAAAGTTTATATTGCAAGAACATTTAGAAATGCCAAAACCAGAATCTCTGAATACAAATAAGCCAATTCAACCTATGCCTGCCATCCGTTGGAAAACAACCACGACTTCGACATACAGAAAATAATGGAAAAACATGAAACCTTCTGGAATCTCGGATAATTATTGAACGTAAACAACACAATTTCTTATTGGACGACCAACAATAAGTTAATTTCTCATTAGTGTTAGATTTATTTTCATGAAAAATTTTCTAGGATTAGTCAAAAATCCTTATTAACAGTTTACCTACTCTGTACCTGCTGATTACCTGTTTCTGTTAGTAATCTTCATTCATTGGGGCCGATAATTTGTATAAATTTCATTGTAAAATATTGGGGAATACCCGTCCAACTGAGGATGCTACTATGTAATGAAACGTGTATTGGAAATTAACTGTACATCGTGAAAATTTGGCATTAATATCATGAATAGTTTCTGGTTAATAAATTTCAACATATATGGAGACTGCAATTCTATGTATACTTTTATTTTCAGGCACTATGGTTCCAGGCCGATACGAATATCCATTCACCTTCACCTTACCAACAAATTTGCCAAGCAATTACGAAGGAATTTACGGCCATGTCAAATACTCCATCAAAGCCACTGTAGACTTGCCATTTGCAATGGATTATGAAGAGATACGATATTTTAATGTGAACGCACGCATAGACTTCAACCAAATCAGATCAGAATTGCCCCTGGTAAATAATTTCTATCTGAATAAAATATACAGTGCTGACGTAAGAAGTTTCACGTCCTGACTTTTGAATGACTAAATATCAAAGTCGGGCAAAATGTATGTAAAATGACGTTATTTTTGGTACATATTGAAAAATAATAGTGTGGCATATTTGTCGTCGAAGGGGCACTATCAACTTTTCTCGAATGAAAAAGGTGGTTTTGTGATACTTCGTTTCATAGATTCTTCAGTTTTTCATATTTCTGATATCCTGCAAACGATCGATAGAAATCATAAAATCGTAAAAACTCGCTTCCAAAAAATATTCAAAATGTTTCATTTCCTGGTAATGAAATGTTCCACGTACCACGTACAGAAAAATCTACCTCAAATGAGTTTTCAACTAGTGTTACGTGTCCTGGTTACGACAGACTGATTCAAGAGTCTTTAGATAACACTGGGCTTGTTTCATGCTATTGAAAATGATACTGGTTTGCTTATAGACTGATCGAGTTAGGGGTATATTATACTTATCGAGCCTAATCGGTCCCAATACCTCTTTATATTTGCAGAAAAAAGAAAAATTTGAGAAGCAAGAGTTTGAATTGGCCGCGTGTCTGTTGACCAATAAAATTGATCGTGTCCACAGCGGTGTTGCCAAGTGCCAATTATTTTAACAAAAATACGGAGTTATGAAACATTAGAAAGAATACATTGTCTCATACATTCAAGAGAGATAGCTGACCGTGTGGCAATATGGCTAATATATAACATTGAATTTCTTATTTTCGGTGGGTAGCATGAATGCATTTTATTAGGGTTCATGAGCCTTCGAGAATCATTCAAAAATATAGCTCGTTAAATTCTATTTAGAACCATGGTTTTCGAGTACATTTCATTTCATATGGAGAATTTTTTCATGAATTTAAACGTTAACGGGTTCATATACACTTCCATTATTAAAATTTCTGTGATATCAACATAAAAAATGTCTACTGCCGGAGATATTTCAAAAATAACGTTTTTATTGCGATTCGTGTTATTTGGATCCCATGTATATTCAATTTTCCCTTTCAATGCATTTCTTACACTTTCTTCTTAGATTTAGTTGTCGGAAGTGAGTGTGATTTTACTTTGAATCACGAATGAATCAGAAACTGTTTATACGCTCCGTGAATTTTAAAATTTGGCAATGTTCATTATTTGTATTGTTCCTATTGGTCAATCGAACTAGAAGCGGGACTAGGACTGTGACGTCACGAGCCTAGAAAATCCGATTTTTAATAATCAATTACGGGAAAACAACGCTATTTAGAGACCTGAAATAAAGTACACTATTTTTCAATTCGAAATTACTACCAAATGAAGTGTAAACCAAAAATCATGAAACAAGCCCATTATCTGAATGGGCAGACATGGTACTCAAAATAGCCTGCTAGATCACCTGACAAGATGTTACACAATCGCAGTATATTACATCAACTGGGAAACATTTCATAATATGAGGATTTGATTTGTTAATAGACCTGGATGGTGAACATTTTGAACAATCATCGGGATGAATATAAGTGACTTTCGAAAAAAAATTTAAATAATATCGTTAGTTTACAAATTCCTTAATCCGGCTAATCCGATTTTTAAAAATGAATCGTTTTAAAAAAATTGCCTCTCCGGCGACGAGTGATACACACAATAATTTTCTTTTTCAAAAAGTCTTGAAAATGGTGTCTTTTATATAAATTTTGTCCGACTTTGACTTCTCGTCACGTTCAAAAGTTAAGAGAAGGGACTTTTCACATTCGCACTGCATAATGTACAAGGCGACTCGCCGAGAACTGCGTCAATAAATATTGCGAAAAGTATGAGTACTCAAATTTGGTAATATGCAAATGAAGTTGAGTACAATTCAGTTAAATAGTTTCATGATCCCAATTATACCCGAAGTAGGCTCGTACTTTGTTATTTTGGATGGAACTTTTTACATTCTATTACACAATTAGATATAACATAAAATTCCCGATATATTTTATCTATCTTGCATACCTTCCTGAATATTTAACAGTTCAACAATGTAAGAACTGTGTTCACATAAAGAGATAAAAGCAGGTGGAACATTATCCGAATTCACTTAATATAGAATAGATAAATATAACAATATGTTCCTAAGTGAATGGGGCTGTCACCTACAAAAATAATTAAAATTTGTATATTGTATATTTGTATATTGTATATGTGTATCAAAACTAGTAAGAGATAGAATTGGCCAATACTACAAAAAGCGAATGATGACAACAATCGGATGAGCTGAAAAGTTCGTAGGTTAGCACACAGATGGCGCTATTGGTGTTAAATCTATACGATTTTTAGTCATCCACAACCTTCAAAAGACCTATGTACAAATTTCACAACTGTCGAACTATTAATTTGTAGGATAGAACATTTTGAGCTATTTGGTGATAAAATACTATATTGAAGCCATGGTTTGGCTTGATAAACATTATTCGGACTTTGCACCAGGAAAATCACGTAGGAAACGCCTCAAAGAGGCTATTACCGATGAAATCATCAAAAAATTGAAGTTGATCGAGATAGCTGAGGCTCTAAAGATATCAAAGGAACGTGTTGGGCATATCGTGCATGAATATTTGAATATGCGAAAGGTATGTTCAAAGTGGGTGCGGCGCAAGCTCACAATCGACCAAAAACAAAAACGAATTGATGATTCTGAACAGTGTTTCGAAGCTGTTCCACTATAGAAATTGGAAATGCGTCGATATATGACAATGGATGAAACATGGCTCCAGCATATGGTGAATCGACTCCAAAGCGTGCAAAGATGCAACAATCGGCTGGCAAGGTTATGGTATCAGTATGGTAGAATATTCACCGACTATCTTGAAAAGGTGAAACCATCAACAGCGAGCATTTGGAGCATTTGAAGGCCGACATGGCGGAAAAACTGCCCCATTTGAAGAAAAAAAGTGCTGTTTAATCAACACAATGCACCGTGTCACAAAATAATGAAAACGATGGCAAAATTGCATGAATTGGGCTTCGAAATGCTTCCACATCCACCGTATTCTCCAGATGTGGCCCCCAGCAACTTTTTCCTGTTCTCAGACCTGAAGAGAATGCGCCGATGGAGAGGTAATCCTCGAAAATGAGGCCTATTCTGAAGCTAAAGACAAATTGTACTATAAAAATGGCATCGAATAATTGTATGACCGCTACAATCGTTGTGTCGCCCTCGAAGCCAAATTCATTGAAGAATAAAATGGAATTTTATCAATTTTTTTCCATGTTAGCCTACGACCTTCTCAGCCCAACTGTTAGTTGTACATTGTACATGTATGATCCGGAATTCAAGAAACGATAGAAAATCATCTATATTTTTATCAAAACTGAAAAAAATCATGATAGTCATAACTATTTCGTGAAATTATTCATGGAAATTGATAACACTGTAATTGAATTTAAAAAATAGTTCAAATGTTTTAGCTGAGATTAAAAAATAAGAACGTGTACTCGTATAGTGGATTTTCAATGAAACTGTGGTTCGTCTTGAACAAGGCATTTTCAACTCAATAAATCATTATAGAATAAGTGCATAAATTGATGAAAACAATAACTCATCTCAGGATGAAAGAAACTGTTATTATCATATCATACAGGATGAGTTGATAATAAGACCACTATTCTGAAATATTAACGAATTTTCATTTTCATTACATATTTCGATTTGAGCTTTGAATAACATCAGATATTACCACAATATTTCCAGGCACCAATTTCATACCAAGATGAGAAAATAATTTGCTGTTGTTGCTGCGCTAGTGGTCCAATCACCCTCGATGTGCATCTGCAGAAAGAAGCATTTGTTTTAGGTGAAGTAGCCAGGATCCGAATTGTGGTATCAAATTTATCCAACGAGAATATTCAGGGAATGAATGTGACACTGATGTCGGTAAAATTGTAGAATATGATTCATAACTTAGTGTAATAATAGAGGCAACTTTCAGACTATTATTTCCATCGTGACAATTCCTAGTACCAAAGAGAGGGCTGAATCTGTACTTTTAGCTTCAACTAGTGACACTGGAGTAGGAGCGCATGGAGAGAGAACTTACGATCTTGAATTGCAGATACCAACGTCAGCAGTTGTTTATAACTTCAAACAATGTACTTTGTTTCAACAGAAATTCATTCTCAAGGTAAGCACTATTGTGTCAAAACAATTTTCCGGGGGTTTTGGCCGTGAGATATAGCTTTTCGAAGCCTGACATTTCGCCGGTTACTGTGGTAGATATTGTCAAAGGCCATGAGGTAACGGTCGAAGTACTCGAAATGGTGCTCGAGTTGTTCCTCTTGTTCCCAATGCAGAAACTACACTGCTGGAATTTGTCTCCGATTTTACCTTATAATATGTAGGTGTGGCTTGGTTCATATCAATTGGCTTTATTTCTTTGAGTACAATTAAGGACAGATAGCCAGATTTTATTAATGTTCATTGTCTCTTTTTGCTATGTTTTTGAATTTCTATCATCTCTCTATATACTCTTGGATAGTAATTTTGAGTTTATCAAGTTTTACTTATCTTCGAATGAAATAATGTGACTGCCTTTTTTTGAAAGCATGTTTGGCTACAGCTGTCTTGTCGGTTTGTCCAAAGCGACAATGGACTTGTTTCATGATTTTCAGTTAATATTTCACTTGATAGAAATTTTAAATTGAAAAACAGTGCACTTTATTTCATCTCTCTAAGTACCGTAGTTTTCTCGCAATTAATAGGACCAATAGGAACAATAGAAATAATCAACATTGCCAAATCATAAAATTTGTGGAGCCTATAATTATTAATTTAATTATGGAAGTGTATATGAACCCGTTAACATTTCAATTAATGAAAAATTGGAATGAAATGTACACGAAAAGTCATGTTTGGAAATAAGTTCTATATCTTAAATCAGTACACAAAGTCGATAGATCACAAAATATTTACCTAAACTATGATTTTATGCATTATTTAATAATATACAGTTATGAAAATCAAAATATATAGCGAACCAGGATTAAATAATCATTTCAAATATTCAATTTATTCTACAATCCTCAATCTGTACAACTGCAATTTATTATAAAAAAAAACGATTCCTACATACAAACCCCTTTCTAATATAGCTACTAAATTCAAGCGTTATAGGCTCGCTTGGGTAATCCGTTGAATCTTCCAAAACTTGAGAGGAAGGCTGAATAAGGTCAAGTATAGACAGAATTGATTGTACTCGATCTGATCCAACAAAAGCTTCTGAGGTAATAATACCATTAATCCATTAATCATATGATAAAATTTAATTGATTTTGTTTCATACTTTCAATAATAGGATTAACTCCAGATAATACTTTTTGTGGAGAATACTTGAAGTTGAAATAAAAAACTGTGTCATCAAATTCAATAACTCACTCACTCAAATTAAATAACTCACTTATAAACCAATGCGCTTTCTGTTTTGTTGTGCCTTTTCGCACAATTAAAATCAGCACAAGAATGCACCATATCAACATTTAAATATATCCCTAAAACACTTTTAAAACATACACAAACTAAACTCAATGAAAAAATGAATTGTTCCTACGCGAGCTGTCAGCTAAAAAAAAGTTGAAACTCAATGTTGCAAAAACAAGCAGAATGGATCTGATATGACATACATTTTCAATGCTGGATAAACCAATAAATTGTGATATGGGTACCCCATTTTCCTGAGAAAATGAACGATCAATTGAAATTTTCTGTAATTATTCATTCATTTTTTTAAGAATAAAGCCAGCAAACGAATAAATATACAATAATAAGATCGTTCGAATCCACGAATTAGGCATAAAAATGGACACTAATATTTGCCTTGAGAACTGATATAGTACAAATTATATCTAAATATGATTCTAAATAGAATTGAACCAGCTGCATTTTCAAATGGTTTTCGAATGCTCATGAACCCTAATGAAATGAATCAATTATGTATTCATGCCACCCACCAGCAATAAGAAAGTCAACGTTACTGGTAACGTTGCATACACTACAGCGCCCTCTGTAGTGTATACGACAATGTGCTCTTTCTAATGTTAATGGTTTCCACAAACTTCGTATTTTTGTTAAAATAATTTCAAAATGAATGTTGAGCCCAGTTTTGTTAAAGCTGACTAGTAGGTCCCTTTTATTTTAATGACATTCATTTCAGACTTTGTCTTTTATCGAAGGATGGCAAGTTTTGATTTAATTTTTATTTTATCTCGGCCAAGGAGCAGTATGGCGACTGAAAAGAGAAGCAAAAATATTTATAGTGAAATGTAGAATTACTTCAGAACATATCAATCCAAAAATAATCTGAAAAAATATTTTTCGGAATGTAAACTATTGAAAATGCGAAATATGTTTCAAAATAGGCACCTGCCGAAACCTACCTTAACAAAAAAACGTTCTTCAATCAGATAATTGTAACGGTTGTATTTCACACTGAGTGGGCAACAATAACAACAAAAATGGCGTCTGTCAAATTGGATCATCAGATCTGTGATTGGAAATGAAAAATTAATACACTTGGCAACTTCGCTCTAGACACGATCAATTTCATTGGTCAAGAGACACGCAGCCAATTTAAATTCTTTCTCTTCGAATTATTCTTTTTTCTGCAAATATAAAGAGATTTTGGGACCGATTAGGTTGATAAGTACAATATACCCCTAACTCGATCAGTCTATAAGCAAACCAGTATCATTTTCCATAACATGAAACAAGCCCATTTCTCTCGTGTTCATAGAAACGGGTACCTGTACTTCATTTCGTGGTTCCAATGTAGACCTACCAGAAGCTACAAGGAATCCGATACACCCCAGGTGTTGCTAAAGGTTCTCTGAGGCCCTCAGCTGACCTTAGATTTTCTCTGATAGTTTTCATTGCTCTAAATATTACATGTATGCCGGTAAGCACTATTGTTCGAACGGTTTCGTACACCTATACAGACACGGGGTTGATTTTCAAGAATATCGTATAATAAACTGACAAAAAAATTCTGATTTTCTATTGAAGTTGAAACTAAATATAGTTTCAATAGGCCACAAGCAAATATTGCTTATGGGAAAATAACCATTAATAATTGATTATCGTGAATGAAATATATTTTTGAATATAGTTTATAGAGTGATAAAAACAATAAAATTTTGAATGGACAACTACACGTATGCAAAAACGTATGAGCGTTGTACTCTTCAATGGTTAGATTAGAATAGATTGTCGGGGAGCTAGCCCATGGCCTGATTCACTGCAAACTTTTCAGATCTATTGTTAGTTGTCTAGCTTGATCTCTTTGATGAGACTCCATAGCCTTGACACCGACCCCTTCATATAGCTGGCAGACTCTGGTTCCTCTTCCCCGCATCTTGCGTGTCTCAGCCTTGCTATCACTCCGCATTTACAGAAAACATGCAGTGCGGTTTCTTCTTCTTCTTGACAGAACCTGCATTGGGCTAGAACATCGGCCTCCTTATCGCCCTCGTGACCGTCATGTCCGGGTACCCAAACTACAGTACTTAGACAGCATCTGCTTTCAGTTGATGGTACAGTTTCAAGTATTCTGCACTGTGTGACTGGCTAATTGGGGTGTGCCCCAGCATTGGCCTGTGTGTCACAAGTCAAGCTTCTCTTTGTAGGTAGATGAACAATGGTGGAAGTCCGAGTAGGACCTTAAGTGCTGCAGTTGGGGCCGTTCTCATGGCTCTCGCGACACTTAGGCACAATGGTTACTCTTTATTATATTATACACCAAGAAAAACTTCAATAACCACTTCTACAGTTTCCATAATCATATCTAATCAAGAAGTTCATCTAAAATCATATTATGAATTGTCACAAATAAAAAAGAGCTCTGTTAGTGTTTATCTGATAGAATTGGCAGATATTCGATGTAATAGTGTTCAGTTTCCACTATTGGAAAGTGACCAATAACCTGAAAGCACAGGTTTATATCAAAAACAAATGATTGCCAGGAATTCAACGTTGACTATTGCATTGAAATATTTTTTTGACTTAGATCGAGGCCCGCATAGGAGGTTGTCACACGAACATGGATGTCAAAACCTACGTGATGCTAGGACATATACCACTTGATGACATCCAAAATCAATCAATACAGAACACTCCCTACTCTCAATCGGAGATGTCAACAGGTAAGTATCGAAAGGAATTCATATTGTCACCTGTTTGGGGACAATACAGAATAAGAATACAGAAATTAAAATAGTACTCACACCAGTTGTTTTATTATGAGCCTGAAGAGGTAGCAAAATGCGAGCTGACTTATGTTCACTCCACACACAATCCAGTTACTTTTTTCAAGATTATCCTGAACTTTTATTCAGTTTTTCAAGAAACCATTATTGTTAACCGACCTAGTTTATTGAATTCCAATATCACTGAATAAATATTAAAGATAATATGAAGCAGGGCAATAAAGTAGATATTAATGTACTGAGTAATTTAATTTTCATAGGTTGGGTTAGATCCAACGTGAGTTGGTCTATTCGACCCTCCATCGCAACCTTCACGGGTTTATTGTAGCTCACACGAAGCCGATTAGATCATATGGTGAGCAATATTTCAGGTCAGATAGTGAGAGTGCGGCTCTGTCAAACTCTGAAAACCTGATTGGGTCTGCAGCGGAGCAGGCACAAAGTATGTGCTTTGCTGTTCCATCATTTTTCAAACAGCTGTCTTCAGAGTTCCTGCATATGATGATTCAGGCGACAGTGACCTGTGAGAATGCCTGTTAGAGATCGTGGTTCATCCCTGCTGTAGTCCAACAACTGTTTGGTTTTAAACTTCGAAGGGTGGATGAACGCCTTGAAGTGAGCCAATCCTGGGCAGAAGTTCATAAATATTCACGCCAATCAGGTGTTTAATGTTTATTTGGCAAAGCCTATAGCGATGCCAATAACAGGTTCTGTTCCGATGAAGCTGTTTACAGCACCCTCTTTTGCAAGGGAGTTAGCAGTTTCATTGCTTTCCAGACCAAGATGGTCAGGAATCCAGATCGGAGAAAATTTGTTGAGTCTTGATGAGAGTCTTTTTTGGCAATTTGCTACCATTTTTCATAACTCATAAGTTAAAAATATATAATATGGATATATAATACAACACTAAAAATATTTAATTCAATCTGCTTCATCAGTTTTAATTAACTGAGCCAATAATAAAACGTTTGAATTCGAAGATCCTTGATCATCTTCGATGATCGGGAGTTGAATTTTCTGTCGATCTCATAAGTATCGTCTTCCGTCATATTCACTTCTTATTCAGTGCTAGTCTTGTTCACAAATAACGGTTGAAACGTTACATTCATGGCCCATTGTATGGTGGAAGTGCAAAGTTTGATGATTATGGTCAATTCTATTCATTCTTTTGAATATTATTGAGGAATCAGTAATCTCAAAGATGTTTTCTATTGATAATTTTCAGTTTCATTGTTACCACCACCAATATGTACACCTACCAATTATGATCCGCCGTACTCTTTATCAGACAAAACGTCGCCTTATCCGATTGCTGCCCAAATTGGATTCAACTTGCCTCCAGGTTCCAACGGATTGCAGCCGGTACCTGTTCATGGTGCAGGCCCATACCCTCCAGCATCAAGTTCTTCGGCAGCTGTAGCTAGCGCTCCTCCGAAAGAGTCTGTTCCTTCGGCACCTTCTGAGGCAGAGATGGCGAAAGGAGATGAATCTCTTGTTTTGAATGGTTAGTTTCAAAATATACGATGATATTTTTTTGTTATTCGATATACCTTTGAATATATTGGATCGAGTACCAGAAAATTGATTGAATCATTCTCTTTCATCTCCATGGTGAATGTGATGGAAGGGTGCACAGAAATCAAACATGCATATGAAAATTAACGAAGACATGTGTCTGTTGTCAGAGAGTTTATAAATTGCCTTGTGGTTCATCTCCAATATCTTACATAGCTAAAATTGGTATAACATTCAAAGCTCGTATAAAAGAACATATAAACAGTTTCCGGCATGGAAACATAAATTCAACGTATGCTTCTCATCTAGTTACAGAGGGAGGTGAGATAAAACTTTCTGAAAATTCTGAAACTCTGTGCTCTTTGGTAATTATATAACAATATATAAATAATCAAGATGTACCTTTTGTTATGTCGCAAGTCAGTATTCGCTTGGCTTATCAACGAGAGGATTTTATTCGCTGTTTCACCCATTTATCATTCATCCAAATGGTGAAAGAACTCATTTAAAAACTTAATTAAATATTTATTGTAACGAAACGGGCAAAACCCAGCAGGATCGAAGAAAAGGAGATGTACTGCATTGCTGGAACCATTTCTGAAGATCAATAGGTAATAATAATAATAATAAATGGGGAGTGGTCATTGGTTGATAATGCTGGCGCGCCCTCCCGAATGTATCGGGGCTTCGGGGGATAGGGCCTGACCAGCGCACACTACAGTGAAAATAATAATAATAATGATAATAAATGGGCTTCATTCATTGACATACATTGTTTATAAAGAAGAAGTAAATACAAAAATCAATAAGAGGGCGAAGTTCAGCCGAGGCTGTTTTACAACTCAACCTGGGGGATAGCATGTTTTATATAGAAATATAAAAATAATTACCTAGTATACATTGGAAAGTGAGTAGTTCATGAATCTTTGTGAGACTAAGAAAAAACAAAGGTTATAAATTCAAAAGTGAATATTAAAAATCTATTTAGCTTATAGTCTATTTCAAAAGAGTGTAGAGTAATAAAATCTCATTAAGTATTCAAAAGCGCTACAGGGTGATCCGTCAATAAATTCTGTCACTTCCCTAGTCCGCATTGCAAAATTATGTCGTTTCATAAAGAGCAGGTAGGTATCACCCTGTTTTAAGGGATTTGTCCATTGTTATCGACGGATAAATACTGAGCCAGAGGCGCGCTAGTGGGATAATTGCCAAAAGAATATGCATTCATAAAAATTATATTAAAGGAAATAAAAATTTAATACAGCAGAACAGTGTTATTAAAAAAATNGTTTAATAGGTATTGCATGATTGGTGGGCAGGGTCAAAAAGGGATTATTATAATGACATGGCACCTCGGAACTAAGTGTTAACCCTTTTTTGAGAAATCATGCTCAAGTATATGAACCCAAATTGCATATTAAATAAGTTTACAAGAACCACTAAAATTAATCTTAATCTTTTTTTAAGAAATTTTACTTACCTAAATACATGTAGGTACTTAGTTTTAGACCAAATTACTTCCCAAAAATGGCCTTTTATTATTATCTATGTCTGTAATTTTTAATTTACTTTAATTATTAAGTTTAATAATCCTAAGATTTGCCTACGCCCATGGACGACAACGAAATTCAGGCAAATTTTATGACACTTCATGATTTATTACTCTACACTCTTTTGAAATAGACTATAAATAAGGTAAAATATAGCAAAACAAACACAAAGGTGAGACAAAGGGAAAACCATATGAGCAAGGCATAACATGAATATATTATTTATCCAGAATACTTCAGATATGTTTTCAACTTTTTCTTGAAATTATATATGGAGTAGTGTCTAAATTCACTGGGCAGAACATTATATTGTTTGATAGAGTTGTAAATAAAATTACAAGAAAAGCAGGCTGTCGAGTGTTTTGGAATAATAAAAGTGTGACGGTTTCGTGTCCTCGAATTATTCTGTGATTTGAAAATTTCATGAATATAATTTGGCTTTTTGTAAATGAGGAATTTATGTATATTGATGAGTAGGTGGAGCTGCCAGCTTTTAGCAATCGGTAACCAACCTGACTCCTCGAACTTGGGGGATATATGGTCGAATTATCTCACACCATAAGAAAGACGAATGCAATTGTTTTGCATTTTTGTAAGCGATTTACATCAGTTTGTATCAAAGCAGGCCCGTAGATTATATCACAATATGCTAATCTAGACAATATGAGGGTTTCGCAAAGTTTCAACTTCAATTTGGAAGTCATAATATCTCTACTTTGATAGAGTTGACGTAAGATACTGTATGAGCTACGACAAAGTGAATTTATATGTTTGTGAAATATCAGATCATCATCTAGCCATGAACCCAAGTTCTTGCTTTCTGTAATTGTTTGTAGTAAGTCTTGTCCAAGTTGGATTTCAATTCTTCATTCAACTTCCTGTCTTTTGTACTGAATGCATTTCTCGATACTGTCTAGTCTTGATCTTGACCTTCCTCAATATTTATAAAGATTCATACGCTGACATTGCAACTTTGTTCCGGTCACTGTACTGAGATAAAATGCCCAGTATTCAATATGTGCAAAATTTGCGTATTTGTAGATTTTTTTACATTTCTATATCCTGTGATCGTATCAATTTTAATCTCTATGAACTTAGAATATCAAAAGATGGAATTCTGAATATGTAGTGTTTTTTTTAGAATATTGAAGTTGAGGTTGGAACATCTTTCAATTCATGTGTTCGCTTGAATGAATTTGAATTATTCCATGATTATTTTCCATATTTGACAGTATGTCCCATCAAATGAAGATGTAAACGTTCTAATAATCAAAATTTCAACTCAACAATTATGTCAGGAAGATGTGTGGTGATTATATTAATGAACATTTGAACCCCAATGTAATTGTACTAATGCTTTATTGTTTCAGATCCTTCAAGTAAATTATCAGACCCTCCTCCACCAACATATAGCGATGCTGTTCGAGCTCCATCTTCTGAATCTGATTCTGCTTGGGTAAACTTCCACTAAAGCCCAGTACACACTTTGGAAAGCATCTCTTCAATACAATAGATGTTGTTTTATACATTTCATTTTTATATTTGACAGAATCTTGTCTGGAAAGTTGTCTTGTTTTTTGTGTTTCGTAATGAAGAAAATATGGATTGACCTCAATGTACTTCAACTGATAGAAATAATCTTCAAGACTTCCAAATATACCACAAATAAATCGTATTTTTTTTAAGAATATATGAGATTTTTATTGATGAAATATTCAAATATTTCATTTTCATTCATCACCATTACTACTTACGACGGAAGGATTAAAGCAATCGAGTTCAAAACAAACCCTCTACGAAGATGTGTAGATCATGCATTGAAGTTACTTTAAAGTATAAACTGGGAGAAAAAGCCCACCCCGACACGTCTACTTTCACATGGACAATGAATTACACGAGATAGAAAATACTTTTGAAACAACTACCTTTATATGAATTTTGAATTATACGAAAATCTCTTTTATACTCCAAACCCTCGTTATGAAATGGAATCAGATATTACAAAATATAATATATGAAAGAGTTACGATATAAAATGTCACTGACATGAAACACTATCATCCTTAATGGCCAACTTCGAAGTTTCGGAATAGAACACTTCTATTATCATCTCATCAGCATCTGCCTGAATAAAATTACAAGATGAAACACTTTATCACAGATGAGACGAATACACTCGTTTCATACGCTCAATTGATTGAATTGCAGCCACTGGGATCTTGTTTGAAGTTGAACTTCAATTTTTCTCAAGAAATATTCATTTATTATCAATTTCTATATTATCCCCTTCAAAGTAGTCCCTCTCAGATATTATACACGTGTGCTAGGGTTATTTCCGATACTCGAAGCAGTTCTGATTTGCACTTTTTGGTATGTCCTTGAGCTCTCTCAGTGATTTAGTTTGTGTCCCCTCAAACATCGCAAAACGATGTCTTTTCATGAGTCTCTTCAATTTTGGGATCAGGAAAAAGTCGCAGGGGGACAAATCTGGTGAACATGGTGGTTGAGGAATTATTACGGTGTTTTTGGCCATAAAACTACGAACAAACAATGACGAGTGGGCATGTGCATTATCGTGATGCAAACGCCATGAAATGTTTCTACACAATACCGGACGTTTCCTCCGTAATGCTTCCCATAATTTCAAGATAATACTCCTTATTGACCGTACGACCATGTGACAAGAACTCCTGATGCAATACGCCACGGTAATCGAACAAGAAGTGAACAAAACCTTGACATTTAATCTAACTTGGCGTGCTCTTCCATTGGGACGATTGGACTTTGGTTTCCATGTCATAAACGTATACCCATTATTCGTCACCAGTTATGATCCTTTTGAGCAAATCTGGATCGTCTTTTGAGTCAGTCAACAATTTCTGAGAAATGCTCATGCGACGGTTTTTTTGGTCAGAATTCAGTTATTTATTTCAACAATTTCTCCACTTTCTCAAACATTTTTATCGGTTGTAGATGTTCTAGGACGTCCAGAGCAAGCATCGTGTTTCACATCACCTCGACCTCCTGTGAAGAGCTTGTACCACTCGTAAACATTTTTCTGACAAAGGGTACAATCACCGTATGCCACTGTCAACATTTGAAGTATTTTTGAGTACTATTTTTTACATAAAATTTTATGCAAATTTCCTGATCCACTTTTTCGAAAGCAGAGAATGGGGAATGTTCCTCAATTTGGATGCAATGCAAGTTAAACAAAATAAAGTTGAGTTTGATTCATGAGTTTTTCAAATTCACTTCTTGAAGTATTCAAATTGATGTTTCAAATGTTGGGTTTTAATTTTTAAAGTGATTTGTTTCTAATTCACATATTGGCAACATCGCCTAGAATGCTAGATCGGAGTTCAGGTTAGTAGTATGCTAGAAGAAGAAGAAACATGTCAATAGTATCAAATTAAGGCAAAATATAAATTATAGTTCAATACCACCTCTACAAGCCACAGGAACAACAGTTGTTTTGTTATTTATTCATATAGAGGAAGATAGGTTAGGTACACAAAATGTCATATCTCACAGAATGTGTCGGAACATAAGTAAACAGCACGCCTCAGAAATATGTCATCTTTGTTTGTCTCTAACAGGTAACAGATCCATTGTCCTTTATTAGCTATAACCGATGTTGCCAAATGGTGAAATGGAAACGAATCCCTTTAAATATTGAATGCATTATTTCATTCCTCTTTTTTAGGTATTCAAATAATTTTTTTGAAGAAAAAGGTTGAAATGCTTTATTTTAGAGCTTCTCTCATGAAAACTACTTGATTTTCGTCAGGAGGAACATTCTCCATTGCCGAACACACAAAATACTTCTAACTTTCATGCCTCTCACCAACAAACTGAATATGCTGAATAGCTGTGATACAAGTGAACCAACATAAAAAAATTGAGAAAATCGCTTATCAAATGTACATACCCCGCGAAATTTGAATATTTCCCTTTTTTTTAATATTGTAATTTCTGTGGAACACGTGTATATTTAGGCCATATTTGTAGGCCAAAACACCAGATCTATTCTGATTACTGGCCAATTATATGTTCATGAATAAAAAATAAATCATTCTCAATACTATTGAATGTATATGTTCCCGAATGGATTGAGAGACACCCCATTCGTTAGATAAAAGATGACATAGAATCAGTTTGAATGAAGTGGCTACGATCACCCTTTGATTATAATTTGATATAATTTGATTTGATTGATATAACAAAATGGAAGTACCAGGAAAATCAGTTATTCCATATTAATCTGTTGAAACATTACATCAAGTGGTCTCAAGCTGAAATTATCCACATGGAGGAACACTCGTTCAGGAGATATTCAAATAAGCCGCATATATGTTGTCCTGCAACGCATTTAGCCAACCTAGCGTAGAGATACGCAACATATGAAAACCCATAATCGTGAAAACGTGAAAATATTGGAATGACCTATAAATAGTCATCTCTCAGGGGAATAAGTTCAGTCATCACTCGAAGACGATTGTGGATACGAACAACCGAAACGTCGTGAAGTAACTTGACTTGAAATCTTTCAAATTTTTTAATTTTCATTTCTTGTTGATTGTTCAATTTTCAATTGTTGCTTGTATTTTATTTCATTGTAATTTCAGTTTCTTTTACTTAATATAATTGTAATTTTTCAGCTAATCTTTTTAATTTCATTGATTTCTTCAGGGATTTCAAATAATTTGATCATCATCATAATTTTCGAAAAAGATTCAATTTGAAAAAATCTGTTGAAGTAAAATAAGTTAGTCTTAGTTAAATTTATCCTAAAGTTATGTCATACTGTATTGTAATTAGCATAATCTTATCCATATTGCCTAAGATTTCATCTATTTGTACCTTAATATTTTATTCTTATAGAACGTGTGATATTTGTACAAGGTTTATCTATTTTTCTTATTTTTCATTTAACTATAACACCAAATTCACGAAATTTGAAGAAATTTTTTGTAGTTTCTACTCCATAAACGCTATACATACTTTTATAAAAATATTTATATATTCTTTATAACTTTTTGTGAAACAAGAGCTCTGCTCTTATCGCCAAACCACTTTGTTCACATATTTTGTTTTAATTGTAATCTAATCTTTATACGTTGTGAATAATGTTATTATTATTATTATTTTTTTACCGTAGTTTGTGTTGGTCAGGCTCTATTCCCCGAAGCCCCGATACATTCGGGAGGGCTCGCCAGTATTATCAACCAACGACCACTCCCCACACCGTGGGGTAAGTGATCATTGCATTATTATCATTATTATCAAATAGACAATGGAAGTCTGAACTGATGAAATGCACTGTTGAAAAACCTGTCAATGTCTCCAAAACAAAAATCTGTTTTTCCGTTAACCTGCTGTCATCCCCAATGAATGACAACCATCAGAAGTTGAAACTTGTGCTAGCAGAGGATTAACGAGGGTTTACCATTTAACGTGCGATTTCTTTGACGTGTTGGACGATGGGCAGTGAAAATCGATCGTCCGTCTTATGAGCTCGAACCACCGGCTCTGTTGAATGTAGCTATACAATCGTTTTTGGCTATGACACACACTCTACTTCAATATGATTACGTCTCTGAATAATAGAGAAATCTGAACATTTTTAAAACGAACAGGTGTAAGTTCATTTGATTTGTAAATGACAACAGACATAAGTATGGACCTAGAAATATCAATGAGATATCCATTATAAATAAGATTGATAAAACGATTGTATGATTTGATCAGGCTTGGATGAGTTCAATGAATTCAGTCTCATATCTTTTATCTAATACGAATAGGAGGTTCAGAACTGCCAGGTGAGTGCATGGTTGATTTCAATTATTTTTCGGAACCGAGTTGTATATAAAGATAGTCAAATTGCAATACGCTTTTCATATATCTGGTAAATTTTGATTTAACTACCTATATTTCCTTAATGTGTTTCGTGAAATTGTTACTCTGAATATTAGTATTCCCATTAGAGAAAGAAGTGAATACCGAACTCTCTGTTCTCGATGTGACGTTAAAAAAATCAATAGATAGATACTAATTGTAGTTCTACGAAAACAAAATCTATAGTAGCAAGCCGTGGTCGAATGGAACCTGAAGTAATAATAATAATATCGTTTATTATGCATAAAAAATATATTTATACATGAAAGGAAAAGGGTTAGCCAAAGGCTATCTTCCACCCCTTCCAAAAATTATACAGTGAGTGTGAGAAAATAATTATAAAAATACTTATTTACTATCATAACAATGATAGAGAAGAGAAAAAATAATAGATCATACAATTGCTGATAACTCTTAATATTCTCAACATTTATTTTTTTAAATTAGCACTGAACAGTAAGCATCTGTGATTTTATTTCTTTCTTGAATTGATGAATATTATTATTTAAAGGTGGTAAAATTTCATTCAGATAAGAAGGGGCTATATAAGAAAAATATCCTTGAAATTTGGAAGAACGGTGTCTAGGTTTGTTGAACGAGTCAATTCTCAAATTGATCATATGTTCGTTTGGACCTGCAAAGAGGAAGGTTATATCTCAAAGTCTCAGCAACGACTGACGTCAATAACTGGAAAAAAAAAATTGAAAAGAACTTCTTTTTTTGCTTGATTACTCCTCAATAAATAACATTTTCAAAACTTTTTTCAGTTGAACTTTTTCAATTGAAACAAAAGTGTAATTATTACTAGAATAAAATTAAGGAAAATATTTTTCGAAATGAATTTCGAAATATTAATCTCTCCGAACTACTTACACAGTAGGTTGTGGTAAACGTCTGTCGAAAAATAACTATTTTCCCGGCTAATACCACGCTGTTTATTAAATAGTATCTGACAGACATTTATGTAAGATTCTTCACAGAGGCTAGTCTGCAGACCGCGGTCTGCAGGTGATCTAATTGAATAGTTTCAGCATGGTCCTGCTGCCGGATGAACGACAAACATCTGCGAGACTAGCCTCTGTGAGGAATTTTGCATAAATATCTATTGGATATATTTCAATATCCAGCGTCGTATTATCCAAGGAAGTAGTTGTTTTCCGGCAGCCATCCACCACAACCTGGATAGTTGGGAGAGATTATTATTTCGAAAAATTCATTTCGAAACTTTTGTTTTCTGTTAGAATGAATTTTTTAAAATAAGTAAATACCTATATGTGATAACCACAAAGTTGAGAAAAATCATTTTGAAAGCAACTGAATACGAGAAGGCCAAAGAAGAGGAAAAGCTGAATAGTTAATAGTTAACTAGTTGATAATTTTCAATCATGAATAATAGTCATCAATGCAATGAATGTTTTCAATTAATTATGTTTGAAACACCTATTTAATTTGGTAGTATGAGAAGACCTTGAGTAGCTTCAATTCAGCTCAAATATTTTCATGTTCCAAACACTTCAGATTATATCCGAAGTACGCTCGAACTTTGTCATTTCGAGTAAAATACGCGACATTTTATAACATAATTAGATTCTACATACAATGTGAGATCTCTGTTTCATTTCATACAATGTAAAGTGTGTGGTAGCAAAGTTCGTTTCAAAATTACTAAGTTTTGAACAAAAAAAATCATCGCATGAGCATCGTTTGAAATTGTTGAATGACGTCAACGGTGATCCAATGTCAATGTTGTGCTCACTGTTTTCTTCAACTACCATGGCGTAGTGCATCAGGAGTTCTTGTCGCATGGTCGTACGGCCAATAAGGAATATTGTAACGAATCTGAATCCGTCTCTGACCGATATCTCGACCAGCAAATAAACATATGACATCACTGCAAAGAGAATGCAGTCGGCAACCACTGATGAAGCTCTAGTTGAGTCCCGAAACAACTATAGAATTCTTGAGTGATCCTTAGGGATATATAAAGCGTTAGTTGCTAAGTGTTGAATATAAATCAGTTTGTGATAGTGAAATATAGTTAGAAATAAATTTGTTTAAGACAGTTAATTCTTTAATTTGTTACAATATTATCTTGAAGTTATGCGCCGCTTGCGAGAAGCCATACGTAGAAAACGCCCATTGAAGTACGGTGTTTTGCGACACTGCTTCGAGGATTGGAAAAAACGCTGGCAAAAATGTATAATATGGAAATTGATGAATAATTTTGAGAAAAATTAAAATTCAGAACAGACAGCGTATATATCAAATGTCAAATAATTCTTCAATCTAGAATCTCATGAATAATCTAAATCGGTAACGAAGTAAGAAAAATGTAGGATATTAATCCCTTCGAAATCCCTTCAATAATAATCGGAACATAATAAACGGTGTCTGTGGGAAAGTAGCGATTCGCATTGGATTTGAATCGCTGGATATTAAATCCGTTTGAAAAACGTTCTCAGGAAATTTACGATAGGTTGCCTTTCATGTTTCGGAATTTGGCAATCTGGCAACTGACAGCTCTACCGTAAAGTTGGACATTTTTGAGCTATACGTACTCAAAACGATTTGACATACGCGCCCTATTTGTGTTGTTTACAGTAACTTAAAAGATTTATCTCGGCCCAAAAATGGAATTAAATCGTGAACATTTTCGTGCGATTATTTTTTACAACTATCGACGTGGATTGACTCAGCAACAGTGCATGGATGAACTTAGTTCAATTTTTGGCGATGAAGCTCCATCAAGGACCAATGTTTATCGATGGTATGGTGAATTCAATCGTAGTCGTAGTTCACTCCTAGAAGAATTTCGTGAAGGTCGCCCAAAATTAGTTGTTCCGGAAACCATTGATGGTGTGCGCGAACTGATATTGCAAGATCGCCATATCACCTAGCGTGAGATTGAGACAACTTCAGGCATTGGTGGGACCAGAATACATTCAATATTGCATACACATTTGACTGTCAGAAAAAATTGTTTGGTTGGATCCCACACAATTTGTCAATCGCTCAAAAAGAGGCTCGGTCGAAGGAAATGTTCAAAAAATACGATCGCGGTGCTTCGAAACACGTCTATGACATCGTGACAGGTGATGAATCGTGGATTTACGGGTATGAGCCTGAAAGTAAACAGCAGTTGACTGTATGGGTGTTTCAATATGAGACAAATCCAACAAAAGTTGTTCGCGCACGAAGCACTTCCAAGAAACTGGTCGCCTGTTTTTTCGGAAAAACTGAACATGTCGCAACTGTACCACTAGAACAACGCAGAACAGTCAATTCTGAGTGGTACACAACCATTTGTTTGCCAGTTGTCTTCCAAGAAATCAGGAAAACCAACCGCCGAAGACGGATCACTCTTCACCACGACAATGCGAGCTCTCACACATCGTCTCAAACAACTGCATTTTTGAGTACCCAAAACATCGATTTGATGAGTCATTCGCTGTATAATCCTGACTTGGCACCGAATGGTTTCTTTTTATTCCCGCACGTAAAAAACAAACTGAGAGGTCAACGTTTTTCGACACCTGAAAAAGCGGTTGCTGAATTCGGAATGCATGTTTTGGAGATACCTCAATAAGAGTGGCAAAAGTGCTGCCACAATTGGTTCAAACACATGCAAAAGTATATAGATCTTCATAGGGAATATTTTCAAAAACAATAAAGTGATTTTCGATGATAAATATTTGTTTTTGTTCTCTAATCTCGAAATATAAAAGGCAACCTCGTATTCCACATGAACGCATTTCCCCAAATAAAACTATTTTATCTGAATTGTAAGTATTCAGCGTCTTACTTATATTATCAAATGTTCCTGCTTATATTTTTTTGCAAAATATATCGATGCATTATGAGGCTTTGCCAGTTTGCAATTCTGCACGTCACTTTAAATCTTATTTCACCTTTTTGACACTTTTCAGTTCCAAACTTTAATAATTGCCGTAATGTCAGTTTTATAGATTTATTCAGTTTATATCTACATTTCCTGTTATTGGGTGTACTTATACCTGTTGGAAATAAAGAAATATCTACTATAATGTACCAAGAAAACTAATCCATTGTTAAATCAAGTTTTTCATGGACAAATTTTGATGATCGAGATGAAAAGTATTAAAGAAGGCGAAACAAAATGTGTAGGTAATTCTATAGTCTTGAGGATGCAAAAAGAAAACTGGAAAGTTTCGAAACTTTGGAGGACTGTAACTCTGGAAATGAGAAATAGAACCGATTTTTTTTTTCGGATTCGTAATCAACATGTCGAAATTTCACCCATCGTACTCTATAAATTCGGATCAGATTTCAGAAGCATTACAATAGTTTGAGATCTGTCCCTCAAAATAGCTCAAGAGATAAGGTGACAACGTACCGGAATCAACAGAAAGTCATTCTGCAGGAGCACATGCAAAGCATTGAAAACGAATTGATGTAATGCTTCAAAAATCGTACACTGTTTTTTTAGGCAAGTAGAGTTGTAAAAAGAAATCAGTCTCATTTTAGTTCATAATTCGGCGGCGATTGCAAACGAAGTGAATGAGTGAAACAAATAAAATCGTCTTAATGTAATATTGAAGTACTTTCTTAAGGTCAATTTGTGAGTATTTGTACGAAAGTAAAGTATTTTCTGGAAGTCCTATCGAGAAGATAATCTGTCATTCTCTGATGATGCAATTTGTAATGCGCGTCAAATAGTATATAGTAGTACATGGTGTGCAAATTAATTCGGAGTTTTCAATTTTGCTTACTAATAAATCTTCAATAACTTTCAGATTTCTTAAACAGTGCACAACATCATTCCGTACATCAGTAATAGACTTGATTTTTAACTCATTTTACGATGTCTTGCACCATCGTTTTGCAAAATTTCGATGGCTCGTATTATCCTGGGAGCTCTATATCTGGATATGTGGTTTGCACGTTTGTAAATGAAAAAAAGATCAGAGGTAAGAATAAGTTTTCATAACAAAATATGGTTAATATGGTACATGAAAAGTGAAGTAAAACTATTTGGCTATTACATCATGTTCAAATTAGCACCTCAAAATACTAGAGCATTTTCAAATTCATGAGTTATTTTCATCACTACTTGAACATACTCTTCTAGGAATTTACTCAACGATACAAGTTTCTTCAAAGATGAGCTCCTTCATTAATTTTGAATTGGATATGAAATATCTCAATCTTAGATATAATAAATGTATAAAGAAATTGATATACTTCCACTCTTAGTCTTTGGTATGAAAATTAGAATCTGGTCGTTGATTTGCTCTTAGTTCATAATGTGAAAAGGCCGTAAATGATAAAATTTGATAATAAACTCAGTAGAGTTGTCTTGACCAAAATTCAATTATGGTACATGAAGTCTTCATGAGATTTCCTATACTTGGTAATGCTTTCTTCGTTATCACAATCGTATTGAATAATCCATTTGTTGAATTTCATTAGTTCGGACTTCAATTGTCTAATATGATTCTACCTATTATAATTCGAAATCTATGAAAGAGCAAGCAAAATTAGAATCAATAGCTGAAATATCAATTATATTAAGAATTGAAACCTGAAATGAAAATACAATAAAACGATTGAAATATTCGAGATACAAAATGAAAATAGCTACGAAAAAGACTAAAAATAGGAACTGAAAGTCCGCATAAATATACAGCGTGGAGAAACCAGAAAATTGGGTATTACAGAGCATGTTTGGACTTACCAATATAAAATCAAGAGGTCCCAAGCTGAGATCATCCACTATTTCAAGACGAAGTTCAAAGAAGCATAGCTGAGTTAGCGTAGAGATACGCAAAATATGGAATTATATAGTAGAATCTTTTTGGACAGTGGAACTCCGAACTAATAAAATTTACGAAGAAACATTTTCAATCACTTTCAAACATTCCGTTTGTTGTTTTAATTTTTATTTTTTTCTGTAGAACTGTCATGATTGGCAGTTTTGACTGTCAACACTTTAGTAATCACACACGGCACATTTTGAAAATTTGGAAAAGTTGAATAAGTATTTCCAAAAGCTTTTAAAATTTTCATCATCAGTTAAACAAATCATAGCCGTGAGTGTCTAGAGTCTAGAGCTGAGGAGTAAAATTCATCTTAGTTTCTCTTCACAGGTGTTAGAGTCAAGTTACGTGGTACAGAACAAACATCTTGGTGGGAACGAGAAAGTTACTGGGATAGTAGACAGAAAAAAACGAGCTATAAGAATGTACATTATACTGGGAAAAACAAGTTTTTATCTGAAACGTTGATATTATTCGGAAAAGGTAGGTTTCTAACATGTACCCAGTAGAGAGAGAGCTGGGTTTGAGTTTATTAAATAGTATCCACATCCATGTTACCTTTTGGGTGTTCATACAGTTTAATATATGTTGATCTATGAGAAAAAAAGTTTTTGGCTTTCTACTACTCCACCTTGATAGAAAAAAAAGATGAGGGAATCTTCCAAAGAAACGAAGGAAGTAATCACTTCTAAAAATAGAACCCCTTCAATTCAAATAAGACTTCTTTCGGCTGGGATTGAATCAAATAGGTGAATGAATGTCATTACGATGTAATCGATGACATAAGCAGATCAAGCTTATTCCGTGACATTAAAAATCGTAATTCATGAATTGATTGTGTGTATTTTCTATAATGTTATCCAATTTGGTACTGAAGAGCCTTAGGGCAAGTGTCTTACGGCAAAACATCGATGTATACCAGTGAGGATGACAGTGTTCCATGTGAGTGCAATTTGTTACCATTCATTTAAAGTAGAACTCATGTGAATGATATCTGATTTTATTCCACAGCGAATATTTGAAATACAAACTGAGTAGAGAAAAGTATCTTCTGTATAATTTAGTGTTCATATAGAAGTATTTGTTTCGAAAGAATTATTTTCTTTCGTGTAATTCAATGCTTATAGGAATGTAGCTGTTTCAGAAGGACTTTCTTTCAGTTTGTGTCTGAAAGTTACTTCTTTGCATGATCTACACATCCATGTATAGAGTTACTTATTTTCGAATTGATTACTTCCTTCCTTTCTTTGGAAGATTCCCTCATCCTTTTTTTTTTGTATCAAGATGGAGTAGTAGAAAGCCAAAAACTTCCTTAAAAATTAATCACTTCTAAGGATATAACCCCTTCAATTCAAATGTTGATCTAGTTTGAAAATGGCATGTACTTGAGAATGATCTCTTAGAAACAGTCACTTATTTCGCTTATATCATTCAAAAACAAAGGAAAATCATGGATGAGCTGTGGCCAAATAGTAGTTTTATATGGTTTTGAGAATTGGCGAACTAACAATAATCATAATTTCACGAATGAATTCATTCGAAACTCACTTAGTTCATTTCAATAAATGTTGAAAATGTTTACCATTCAATCCCTGATAATAATGAAATCTGTTTGCAAATTCAGTCTCTACATTATGGAATGTTACTGAAGTAATTCTGTAAGCTCCTCTTTTCATATCCACGATTTCTGAAATTAACTGCAGTCGTACACTGCAGATCTGGACTCTTCTAAGGGGTCACGTCTGCCTGTCTGTCAGTTTTGATATTTTGATAAACCCAAATGAGTCATCAACTGACGGCAAGATTTGGCCAGACCAACTGATGAAACTACCTCGTACTGGATAATTACTATCATAGATAATGTAAAAAGTATTTTCTTACTGATATAGTTTTTCAACATTTTTTTGGTTGACAAACTAGTACTAAAAACCATTTTTCAGGAACTATGAATCCCGGTAGATATGAATACCCATTTACTTTCATTTTACCAAGAAACCTGCCTGAGACGTTCAAAGGAATTCATGGATACATCATATATTACATCAAAGCCAATGTTGACATACCATTTGCTATCGATTATGAAGATGAAAAAATGTTTGATGTACCGGCACCAATAGACTTCAACGATATCAAATCCCAACTAGCACTGGTAAACTTACAAATCAATTAAAAGTATTCCAGTCATATGTTCTATACAGCAATATTTTTCTCTTTCGGAAAAACTGTTACAGTTCAGCAATATTTTTGTCTTAATGAGTTTTTTGTTGGAATTCAAACTCGATTGTACTCAATTACAGTGATAATAGTCACTGAACCACCAAATGTATGTGCATAATGTTTATTATGAGACAAATGTCCTCAAAGAAAAAGCTTGCATAAGTGTGCATGCATATCTTTTACCTTACGAAGAAAACTCTAACCTTATTTATCTTCGTAAGGGGAGATGTCATTGACTTTACTTAATGAAACATATTTTTGAAAATTGCCATTCATTATATGAAGATAGTAGAACCCGAGTTGATCTATCATTAGGGGTTGATTAGATAAGGACAGAAACAGATTATATGAAACCTTAATTTTTTTTCGAAAAAATAGAAATATATAACAAAATATGAAAAAACAATTAAGATGAAATAATTAGGATAATGAGGGCGTCAGTCGACGCCATACAAACTCAAAAATGAAACAGTTTTACTATTTTCAATTGTAATTGTATACAATATATGATTATACAGCAAATTTCCAAAAAAAGGTGAAGTTCTACTTGTTTGTTAGAGAGTTGTTCTTGAAAACATATTTTATAACTTTATAATTTTTTGTGAATTGAAACAACAATCGTTGTTGTTGTTTTGAATTTGTTAAAATATCAATAGATCTTTTCAGGCCCCATCGTCGTATCAAGATGAGAAAACAGTATGCTGCTGCTGTTGTGCTGATGGACCCATTACTCTTGATGTACATTTACAGAAAGAAGCATTTGTGGTAGGAGAGAATGCCAAAATCGTGATTGACGTGAAAAACTTTTCGAATAAAAATATAGACAGAATACTTTTAACTTTGAAGACGGTAAGTCTGAATGTTCAGATCTACAAAGTCTTTTACTTGAGTAACGTATTCAAAAACACGTTATTATGAGATTCTCACTAAACTGACTATATTCTACATATTCAAAGCTTAATATACTAAATTTTACAATTGGAAGTACGTACATTTCAAGTACCTGACTTTCATCAGAATGTAATGAATTAAATTACTTAAGCTTATGTACCAGATCTTGAAGATGATCACTTGGTGATCGAAACGCGTGTCGAGGTGTTAAACGGTTTGGTGTTGGGAAAAAATTCCAGTGATATTCAATACTACACCAAAGGTTCCAAACAGTGCATCACAAGTTTTTTATGACAGTTGACTAGTTCAGTCCACTACCACTGATGAGACCTTGGCGGGTGGAAACAGCGATAGCGTTGGAGCACAATTTCATTTAGTTGCCATGCAGTGATAGCTGACGTGCAAAGCAAAGAACGAATATCGTTCGGCAGTTGATGTCAAAGCTCAGCTTTGCAACTGACCGCCTTGGGGAGGCTTGTTTATCTTAGATATTCGAGGACTGAGTCATCTGTCATCGCAGATGGCATCTTCATAAGGAGATATGTCATCACCTTCACTTTAGGTTCCTATCGATCGTTCAGAGAATAGATAATACCTTCAATTCAATTCAATTCAATTCAATTCAGATTACCTGAATTACGAATCTAATCACCATGAGCTCTGCATCTTTGTTACACAAAGCATAGTCCTGTCATGTTCAAGAAACTAGATAATCCAAAGAATTGTAGAAGAGACGTTCATCAGATGGCAAGAGTCCGAAAGGGAAAAAATCTGCTCAATTAGTGGCTATCATTATATTATGCCAAATTGGAACTGAGTGCAATATTAGAATCTATTTCATATTCAGATACACAATCCAGTTCCAAGCAAATGTTAAGATAACATCCAACTCTGAACTCCAGAAGAGATGTCAGATTCAGGAAATATCTTTAATCTCAATGTTATTGACAGGGGGTGATTTCGAAAAGTTTATAGAACTTAAATTTCGACCCTATGACTCTCATGATATACCCTACAGCCATCTTGGTTGTATATGTTCATCATATCAGGGACTTTCAGAATATCTGCAATTCACTTTACTTTCGTATTAAGATATTATTCATAACAAATTGATACATTTCAACATCATTCTAGGTTAATATAATTATTTCCAGTTCGTTTCTAGGTAATCACATATACTACGACCAGTCCCAGCAGACATCATAAATACTTCAGTGAAGTTTTGGCTTCAACTTCTGCTGGTGGAGTAGGAGCCCACGGGCAGAGCATGCTTGAACTGGCTTTCGAAATACCAACATCAGCAACAGTATTCAATTTCAACCGATGCACTCTGTTTCAACAGTCGTTTACACTTGAAGTAAGTATTTTTTTAAGGACAAAACACAAGCACTACAGGAAAATCCTTAAGACGCTCTAAGAGCGTTGTCTGTGAGAAAATAATGATTCACATTGACTTTGAATCGCTGGAGATTAAATCCATTTGGAAAAACGTTTTCAGGAAGTTTATTCTACATAAACGCAGTTCTCCAGATGAAAGAGTTCTTGAACACTGAAGTTCGAGGTGTACTGAGTTGAACCTCAAAACGATGAGCAGCCACAGTCTTTCGCGAATTTCTGATATGTACCACTTTTTTTATACAATGAATTATTCAAAAGAAAAAAATGAAGTAGGTCAAAGGTGAGCGGCTGAATTCAAAATGTCATAAATGATAGCTTAGTGGACCGAATATAAGATAAATATGGTATCATCTACATTTGGATGTAAACTGCAAATCTTTAGCATGAAAAAACAAACATATGAGTGAGGTTAGAGGATTAATTTTATTTATTTATTTATTCAATACACCCAGCAGGCCAAAAAGCCTATTTACAGGTGTATACAATTAGAAATATGATAATTATACATATAGTAAGATTAATTTTGAATGAAACGAAGAATCTTTTTTTTTTAATTGCTTGAACGTTAGAAAAAATATATAGGAACTAGAAACATTATTAACACTTCTAGATATAGTAGTTATGGGAGAATGAAAATAATGCAGTGTATTGGAAACCGGAATATGAAATGTGCTACAGAATCTAGATGAAATACGAGGTACTCTGAATAGCATTTGAGACAATAGAGGCGATAAATCTATCTGTCCATGTATTATTTTATATGCAAAACACATATCTCAGCTTTGACTGTTTTTTTTTAGAGATATCATTTGGAACTCGTCCAACAATGAGTCATAGCTATAGCCCTTCTCGGGATAACCACCATGTTGTTTGAAATCTGCATATTTCAAAAAAAATTTGAACATTTTCGAAACTAGATATATGTTTCATATGGGACGGATTCCAAACGACACTGCAGTACTCTAATTTACTCCTGATCAGTGTTAAGTAAACTGTTTTCAAAGAATGAAAGGTCTTAAATTCCTTGCAGTTGCGTATCAAGAAACTCAGATTTCTCATTGAAGTTGATATTTCATTCTGAAAATGATTGGAAAACGAGTTTTTGGTCGAACAAAACCCCCAGATTGTTTGATTCCGTGATTGGCGTTAAACTTTCACTATCTAGTACATAGTTGAATGTTACCGGTGATATCTTACGTGTGAATGTCATTATTTTACATTTATTTGTGTTTAACAGTCTGCTTCATCTTGGATTTCACGATATATGTATTCATGTCATCTGCAAATAGCAATTTATGAGGGGTGATATCATGGGCAATGCTATTTATGAATAGTATGAATAATAATGGTCCAAGATTAGACCCTTGTGGGACACCCGTACTCGCTACAAAGCAGGAGGATTTTATACCATCACATTCAACATAACTACGTCGGTCGGATAAATATGATTTCAGGAGCAACTGAATAATAGATGATATGCCAAAATTTCACAGTTTCTTCAGCAGCTGTTGATGTGACACTCGTTCAAACGCTTTGCTGAAGTCCGTATAGATGACGCTTATTATCAAGTACATCAGAGACAAATTGAGTGAAAATACAGAGATTAGTTTCAGTACTACGAACCTTGATAAAGCCATGTTGAAAAATTGATAGCGAGGAACGGACATGGTTATAAATCATGTCTGAAAGTATAATTTCCAGTATTTTGGAAACAACTGATATTAATATAATTGGCCTGTAATTTTCAACATTTGTTACCTTTCCAGATTTGAGTACAGGGCAAACTTTTGACAATTTCCATCTTTTAGGGAAATGGCGATTTTTTATAATGGAGGTATATATTTATAATCTCTAGCGGCACCGAAATGCTACTTATTAATGATTTAACTGTCTTTGCTGGAATTCGATCGGGACCACATGATAACTTATTTTTTAGTTTTTTAGTAGCTTCAATAATTTGTTGAATTGTAATTGTTGTTAAGTTCAAGTACGGATGATTTACCTGACTTGGCATGTACGTATTATAGTTGGTGTTATTGTCATCTTCACTATATACACCACTGAAATGTGTTGCAAATGCATTAACAATAAAGTGTGCTGATCCATGTGTTTGATTATTAACCCGGAATGCGAGACTTAATTTTTTTCAAATTTATGTAATTGCAAAAGTCGCGTGGATTATTCCTTAGTATTTCTTCAGATCTACTAATATATAACCTATAATCAGTTGTTATTCTGGATTTCATAATTTTTCTTACATTTTTCATGCGCCCTAAATAAAATAAGTATTTCGTTTTTTATACATTTTCAGATAGTGATTTTTTGATTTTATATGACTGCAGTGGTATTTTACATTGCAACAATCTTGATCTTGGAGTAAACAAGTTCATTGATATCATGAAAACTAATTTAGAAGAATGTACGAGGTACATCAAACTGAACAGCAAACAAAGAAAGCGAAAGAAATGGATAACTGGATGCTTGATCAATTCTGTAATAAAAAAAATAGCATGATTCGAAAACTTAGAAGAAATCCAAATGATATCGTTTTACATGAACAATATCAGGCTCAAAAGAAAATATTAGATAAGGTCATCAGGGAAACAAAAAATGAATACTATAGGAATTGTATTCTATTTTTTTGCATCCTACAACTGAAAACGAGATAAAATATATTATATCGCAACTTAAAAATAAAAGGTATCCTGGCTATGATGATATCAAAGCAGAATATCTGAAACTGGTGTTTGATTATATATCGATACCACTCTAGTGAATATGTCATAAGAGGAGAGATGTTCTCCCTCAGCTCTCAAAATGGCTGTTATAACGCCTATATATAAAAGTGGAGAAAAAATCGATGAAGCAAACTATAGACCAATCTCAGCTGCTAAAGTTCTCGAGAAGGTTATTCAAAAGAGATTGAATATGTTCCTTGAAAAACACCAGTTGAGAGAATCACAACACAGCTTCAGAGAGAATATGTCCACCCAGGACCCAATAAAAAAACTAACCCAGCAAATGTATTCATGTTTGGATGAATCGAAACCTTCTATTGCTGTTTTCGTAGATCTTAGGGAAGTTTTCGACACCGTCGACCACTCTATCTTACTGAATCTTCTGAACGATATGAAAATTAGAGGTATAGCGGATAATTTTTTCAAAAGTTATCTTTACCACAGAGAGCAAAGGGTTAAGATGGGAAATCATATAAGTGGAGAGGAAATCACTACATGTGGTGTGCCCCAGGGGACGGTGTTAGGACCAATCCTATTCAGTATTTACTTGAACAACCTTTTCCTAGGGAAAGAGACAATTGTACTGTTGCCAGCAAAGCAAAATATTGAAATTTTTTTGTTTTCCAATAGTTGTGATTTATAAAAGAGAAAGGTATTGAAGATAATAAGATCCCTTAGTAATACCAGGGTGGTCGCGATAGTTGTTTAAAAAATATTACGGTAGTAGAATGTACTCAATGAAAAAAGGATATATTCCAAGTTTGAAGACGCTGCGTTGTTTACTATTTGTTTGGCAGCCATCAATAGCAAACGTTTTCGGTGAATTTTTGGAAAGGAAGAAAATTGGTCATCGTTATATGGGGAAATACTTTTATTTGAAAGGCCTCAGCCCATGGAATATGAAATCTGAACTGGATTCTACTCTGGGTGAGTCTGCTTCTTCATCACAACTGTAAAATACTGGGTAGAAGAGTTTAAACGAGGCCGTACGAGATGCCGAGACGAACATCGCAGTGGTCGACCAAATGAGGTAACGACTCCAGAAAAGGTGAAGAAAATCCACAAAGCAGTACTGAATGATGGTCTACTGAAAGTTCGCGAGCTAGCAGACTTAGTAGGCATTTTAAAAAGTGCGGTACGAGAGGTTAGCGAACTTTCAGAACACCAAAGCGGTTTCAATTCAATTTGTTTTCTTTTATATTTTACTATGATGTTTGCCAATGTATTTGTCTTCTGCATATCATAGATTTTTTAAATAGCATAGAACGGGGTCAAAATGTGCCTGCATAGGTGAAAATATGCATTGAGTCTTTCTACAGATATTAGAAATTCTTGCGCTCGTTGTGCTCTGGTTATGTAAACCAGCCTTTATTATGATGACTATACAAGTTTCGCGTAGGTTGGCGTTGATGAATGACGCGTATTTTCTACTTGTCCCAAAAGTCTGTACACTTTTTGGTGGTGAGAAGTTCGTGGAACAAATTGAGACATTCAGGTAAATAATTTCGTTTGCCAATTCATTTATCATGATAATACCTTAATAACTATTGCACACTAATTTATTTTTGTGAATTATAACAATTTTGAGATAAGAGCACAAATTTGTGGGGTGAGATTGTGTCATTCAGTGGCACAACTTGAGTTCTCATATAAATGCAAAAGGATATGCCATGAAAATGGCATATCCTTTATTGCTTTGCCCCCAAACGCTACCCACCTGCTACAACCTCTAGATGTAGCATTTTTTAGACCTGTAAAAATTAAATGAATGTAAAGAACATATTCGCAATAGTCGTTGCATGACAGTTCCCAAAGATCAATTTCCAGGACTGTTATAAAAACTCTTCGACATTTTATAGGAAAATTATGCCCAGAATCTTATTTATTGGTGAAATATTTATTGAATACCTTAATTCGAAGAGACAGACCATCACGTCTACAAGGACCAAGAAGAAAAGAAGAAGAGTTAACGTTCCTCGAGAAAAAGTATGACAGCTTCCGACATCAACCGGCAAGATATTCATAACTTATCAGTGAGCTTGAATCAACCTTCAACTTCATCAGAACAGACTCATGAGCAACCTAATCTTCCTGATTTCCTGATAGTGAAAATGACAGTACAGGATCAATTGGGCGAGTGATCTGATACAGACATGATAGTTATTGAAATTCCTGACACAAAAGTGCAGAAAAACGAAGTTAGTGCTGGTGAATATGTTATCGTTATATACGAAAATCAACTGTATCCAAGACAAATAAAAGGAGTGGCTGAGCATACACTTTTGATTTCAGCAATGGAAAAGTGTGGGGGAAATTGGAAGTGGCCCAGAAAACCAGATGCGATTTGGTATTTCTATGATGACATTGAATGAAAAATTGACAGGCCATGTCAAATATCTAAGAGAGAAATCTTCAAAGTTCCTGAATAACCGTAACTTAAATAATTTGCTCATTAAAATTTTATTTATTTTGTGCTTGATGTTTTTAGTTTGGTTTCTATTTGTGTCACCTTTAAGGGATACATTTCTCTTCTATTTGTATACAAAGTCTTCATAGAATATATGTTTTTTGTACACAACTGTGTAAATTTATTTAGCCCTATATTAATTGAGTGAAAAGATAAAGGTGGGAACATGCCAGTTGTGTTTATCTATTGAAAACCGATATGGCACATAGTCACCCCAATAGATGGGTTGAAAATGTACCAAAAATATATCAGGTTGCGGACATAACTAAAATTATTTTTATACTTCCTTGTATGGTAATGCATTCGCAAACTATGCGGCGTTCAATTATCAGTCATATATTTAATTTTTTCCAACAATATTTTCGCAACAACATAAAAACATGAAAAAGTGGCACATATTGACCCCATTTTACGTTGACAATATTTGTCTAGAAATTTTGAAATGTCAGTAAAAAGCTCTATTCCGAAAATTATTCATTTCCTTCCCAAATATAACATATCTCCAACATGTTCTTCATCAAACTCTATTATTTATTTAGGTTAAAGCTGAATTACCAGGTTTACATCTCAACATGAACATCAAAATTGGGCTTGTAATAGGACACATACCCATCAGAGGTGTGCAAATTCAACCGTTTCATCATATTTTGTACCCTTCATCAGCGATTCGAAATGGTGAGTGTTTACTGAGACATTCCTGAAAACGTGTATATATTAATTCGTTATTTTCATTCCCAACTTTGACGATTTGAAGTGGTTGTCAAAAACGGTAATGTTTTTAAAGTATATATTTTCAGACCTACCTCCACCATACCCTCTTCAAAACGCAACCGCACCTCAAGAGGATTTTTCACCAACTGCCCCAGTTGAGCAGTGATTCACGCCGTTAGAAGGATGGGGTGTCCATTTCTCTTGAATACATCTTCCAAAAAGAGTTACATGCCATTGTAGGATATTGTTATTTGACACTGTTCCAGGATGAAAATAGTAATTCAGCAAACTGAAAAAATATGATTAGTTATAAGTTAGCTATACATTTTTAGACAATTATATTATGTTTGAAATTGACTTTTATTTTTGCGTTTTCAACTATTTGTTTAAGAAGTTCCTGTTAACAGTTATTTCAATTTATGAAGAAGAATTTCCACATATATCATGTGGTTTTTCCCTCATAGGGCATTCCATTATGAATATTTTATCATTAATGATTATAGTAATATAATATTATATAATATTTGATGATGATTTTCAATTTTTCAAAATATAAAATATATATTTGTGATAATGATTTGAGTGATTTGTTTCCTTGAATTTGAGTTGTATCTACTATATTATATTTGGTTAAATTTGGTTTCATTAGAAATCAGAATAGTTTTAGATGATAAATGAAAATGTTCCTTTTACAGTTTAAGTTAGAAATACAAAAGATATTTCAGTGGATCAGACGCTGCATCATCATACATTATTTCCTCATACTTATGTATGTACGGATGTATCTCCCCTCAATAGTTTTCACTTTTGAATCATACATATCTCGTGACGTCATAATAGCTTTCCATAAATAAAAAAAAATTAAATCCAATGCAATCTATTGGAAAAAAATGATCACAAATGAGTACAAGAAATCGAGAAAATTCTCATGCATCATGTGATTGAAGAGACACTTGTTGAAAATACTTGGTATAACTGTAAATTTGTCTGGAAAATTTACAAAAAACCATCCTCTCAACAGAAGAAATGAATAAAATCAATCTAAGGTACGAGGAATGACAATGATTTTTCGAGATTTACACTGGAACTAGACTTCTTACTGAAAAAGGTAAAGATCAAAGTTGTAGGAAATATAAATCTCAGGATCCAATAATTTTTCTGATGAAAAGTTGGTTGGGTGACAGGATCACTTTTAAAAACAAAAACACATGGTTTCTTGACAACGTTTCGAATTCAATTAAATTCTTCTTCAGGACTTGAAAAGTAGTTTCTTCGTGTTAATATTACTACGTTAAAAACCATTGGACATTATGTGTTGATGTGGACATATTAGATACATTTAAAAAATACAAAATGAAAAACATTGCAACTACCTACCAAATTTTCGAAACAACACCAAAACAGAAAGACATGTTTTATGTCGGTCGATCGGTAGCCGGTCGGTTCGACGTGGGTGCTTTGTTCACTCAATACAATTGACTGCCGTGTTGGTCGGTGGTTCGAGCCCCAGGCTGAACGATCGATTTTCACTTGCTATCGTCCAACTCATGTTAGGAACAGCACGTTAAGAGGTAAGACCTCGTTAATCCTTAGCTCGCACAAGTTTCGACTTCTGAGGGTTGTCGTTCGTAGGGGCGCGACAGCTGGTTAACGGAAGAACAGGTTTTAAACAGACAGATGTAGTTTAGTTTTGATGTTTTTTTTTTTAATTTATTCTAATAAGTCTAACGGTTTTTGAAATAGTAATATTAACACGAAGGAACTACTTTTCGAGCCTTGAAGAAGAATTGAATTAAATTCGAAACGTTGGCAATAACAATTTTTTGTTGAAAAAATTTATTCTGTTACCCAAATAGCCTTTCTGCACAATATGAATATCTACTACATACTACATATCTACTACATAACTTGTAATTATCGTGAAGAATTGAAAAACCGGTTTTTAGTTTTTGATGTTTTTCTTCAACGAAAAAATTTTTTTTCGTGATATTTGATGGAAACCAACTTTCTAGTGGTTTGAATACTCTGCATTTTTTCAATCGGAATATTCAGAATAACATTCCATTTTGATAAATTTGAAAAATACTACATTTCCAGTCCAAAATACACATATTCCAAAAACATTTTTTTTTCAAAATCAACAATGTTATTTATTATTTCAATCATCTACTTTCATATGACAATTTTAATTTTGTGTTTCTCTCATTTTCTGCCAAATTCTTCACGGTAATGTTGCGTCGCATTGAAAGCAGCAGTGAAAGACAGAGAACGAATCTCATTGGAAGTCGATATCGAAGTTTGTTTTAGCAACTGACCGCCTTGGGGAGCCTCGTTTACCTTTTATATTGAAGAATTGAGTTCTCTGTTGATTCCATACATGACGTATTCAAGGGGAGATGCTATCGCCGTTCTTTACTTAGGCATCTTCTTTAAGGACAGTTGAGTCCAACAAAACAAATAATTTTTGTCGGAGAAAAAAATAATAATCAAAAAAGCAGTTTCTTAATTTTTTCTCGAAAATTTTAGGTTTTGTGGAAAATGTTTCTCAACTTTTTTTGGAACTTATAATGATCGACAACTTTTTGTAGATCATTATATTTTCTACAACTTTTGTATTCACCTTTTCTCAGCAGGAGTTCTACTTATGAAAAAACCATTTTCCACCCCAAAAATTTCACCCCTCGTACCTTGGATCGACTTTAATTTATGTTTACAATAATAGACACACTATTTTTTCCTTTTCAACTATTTGTATGCTGTTATTATATTTTTCCTTTCAAAAAATGATTGCATTGTTCTATTTGTGGGAAATATTAGAAGCTGGGTAATTTAATTCTGCAAAGTCGTTCCGTTGCCAAGTTGGGTGCTAGTGATTGCGTTAAATGCCTCCTATTAGAGCTACTTCAAATGGTGATTGAAAAACGCTCCTATTTGTTGTTTTGGTACGCCTCTGCTTATCGTACTCATTTCATCTTCTTCAAGGTTATAGTTCCTGTTATTTGCGTTTCACCAATAACAAACTAAATGCAATCCGACATTAAAACGAATGAACGTTGCACTTCTAGGCGGGACACGATAATTTTTCTATGGTTGGTGAATCTAAGTTAGATGATAGAAGTTTAGGTTTGTGCTTATTTTGCCATACTTCATTTGAAATCAGTTTGAAATGTGAGTATACTTATAATATATTTGTTGGTACATTTGCTACCAAAGATTTGGTTTTACATTAGTTTTTTTTTATTGAGAAATCCAATACACACAAACATAACGTTGGAGCATAGGCGCTCCTAGCCTTTTTTGTTTGGGGATGATTTTTCCTAAATATCACTAAGTATAGGATGAAAAACTTGAAATCCCATAGAAAAATCAGGTACCAATGCAACTCAATAGTATTTACAAAATTTTTAAATCGTTTTCTTTCTTCTAAATTGAAAAGGAAATATTTTTGAGAGAGAGATTTGTTTCTGGCAAAATGACGTTTTGACTTTCTAGTTACATATCTTCAAACAAAATATGTTTGAACCCTCTGAAGAATCAAAGAAATTCAACTTCAAAATAAATTATTTGCGAAAATGATCATGCACAGTAGGTTCTTTCAGATTTGATACGTAGAATTTGGAACCCCTAGCGTGAAATGAATCTATTGAAAACATTTTTTCTGGTGAACATTTTGTTACTCAATTCACCTCATTCTGTTTAGTTCATTTAGTGCCTCAGTATCACAAGGTAATATGTAATCCGCCATTTTGAAGCTGCGGCTATCTCAAATTTGCATCTCTCCCAAAGTGTACTACTATTTTGCTAGTCAAGCCCTGTCATTTGATACCAATTTCAAGGTATTTGTTAAAAAATATTTAATCCGCCGTTGTGTAGCTGCGGGAATCTTGAATTTGCATCATTTTCAACCTGAACTACTAGTCAAGCCCTGTCCTTTGATACCCATATTGAGGTAGTTGTGAAAAATATAATCCGCCATTTTGTAGCTGCGGCCATCTTGAATTTGCATCTTTTTCAAAATGTACCATTATTCCACTAGTCACCTGTCATTTGATACTCATATTGAGGTAGTTGTGAAACAATTTGTAATCCACCATTTTGTAGCTGCGGCCATCTTGGATTTACAATGATACAGAATTCATTAAATTGTATTGTCATCAAAAATAAATGTGTGTACTGAATATCAGATCAATATGTTAACAGGAAGGGGGTCAAATTTCAATTACTAAATTTTACCCCAGAAAACAAATAAACAAAATAATTCGAAACTAATTTGAGATTGTATTTAACGTCGATAATAAGTCCTATGGCTTGATGTAACTAATAAGTCTGAAATCAGAATAAATCTATTTACTGAAAAAAAAATTGTTGTAAAAAAGCGTGGGGTGCCATACATACAGACAGTGTGGTTGTCTCACTTGCTCTCACACTCTCACAGGATAATGAGATAAACTAAACTTATGAAATTATTGTATTCTCACCGATTCTTGATAAGTGTACAAAGTTTAAAATACATCTTTCCGTTTGAAGTTAGTCAAAATCGAGTCCAAAGGAGTCGTTTACAAACAAACAAACATACAAGTGAAGCTAATATAAACCTGTTAGAAAAAATGCTACATATTTACATTGTGTTTTAATCTGCCGGAACAGTCAATAACATTTCAATTACATGATGATGCACTGCAATCCCTCATTTATTAGGAGTGAAAACTAATTTATTTTTTTTTCAGTAGCCTAATTCGAAAATGGAAATCGTTTTGTCAAATTCACAAGAGATATACTTTGCCGGAAACAAGGTTTTTGGACATGTACTACTAACATTCCAGATGGAAACACATGTTAAAGGTAAAAATATAAACCTTGTTACAACTTTCAACATAGAACTGTAATAGTGACTTTCGTCAGCTTTAAGGGTCGTCGTAAAATAGAATTCCTGAACTGATTAAAAGTCGATACAAAAAGCAAAGTGGCAACATATCATGGTTTCAGGTAAATGTTCAATTTACTGGCTGCAAATTAGTAGATAAATAATAATTCGATTTATTGTACAGTATGAAATAAAAATGAAAGCAATTTCATTTCGTCACACATTTATACGGATGGGCAGAGGGTCACATAATTGTATTAGTTGTTAATTATGACTTCAAATGGAAATTTCACTTCAATCTCAAATGATTCATGACAAATTAAAGTTGTATTTTCAAAGTTGAATAGTTTTTTATATGAACATATTGAACTGGGGATCCCTCAAGGAATCATACTAGTACTAGGATTTTGAAAAAATACTTCATTGTGACATTTCCACTACACATTTTACAAAACCGCAATAAGCTATATAATATCTTCTTCAGGCGTATCTATACTAGCTAAAATCTTCATATTCAATGCTTTATATTTATTTCTACAATTTAAAGTACCTGCATTTCTCCTACTCAAATAATGTTAAAAATGTGTACATGAGTTTAAGAATGAATTAATTAACATTAACATAAGAAAATAAATTTCACAAACTCATTTAAAAGAACATGCAATTAATCAAATTGCCTGAGTTTATGTATCAGGTAATTACCAGTTTCCAATTTGAAAAATAATCAGTAACGTTCCAATATAAAGTTTTAAGCAAGAACCACAAATCAACTTATATAATCCTGACAATGAAGTTTTGTCTTTATTGTTTTCATTGAATTTGCTTCAGTTATAATTTTTCCGTAAGATATGTCCAAGCCATTCTTTTCCAAAAAAAACGAGCGATATTATTGGTGGGTTCACCAAGATATATCAATGTCCTGTAACGCACACTATCGTGTAGTCCACGGCTTGGACCAGGAGTTATGGTTTTGTGAACTGTTCAGTGAAAATGTTACGTTATGGATTTTCTTCAAGTATCAGCCGATTCCATCACATACATTTTATACTAGGGCCACTGCTCTTTCCCTTATATACTCGTATCATATATAAAAGACTTATCACTCTTCATCACAGAAGGTAGGTTACTCATGTATGCCGATGATATGACAGTGGTAGTCACAGGTCACACCTTTGAAGATGTTTCCAGAAAATAAATGAGAGTCGCAGGGGCTACATCTGGTGAAGATGTGTATGTGGATTATTTTCAATTCAATACCACAAAAACCCAGACAATTCCGCTTTCTGATTCGATAAGTTTGTTGGGGGTTAAAATGCACACCAATATGTTTTGGCAAAATTATGTCTCTGGAATTGCAAAGGCTGCTTCTCAAAAGCTTGGAACACTGTTCTAACTCCGAGCAACTCTGAAGTTGGTGAATTCCATCCAGAAAAGAGCCATCCGCCTGATTGGAGACGCGAACATCACGTGCAACCTTGATAGCCTGGAACATCGAAGAAAGGTTGGAGATTTGTCTCTCTTCTATAGATACTTTCACGGGAAGTATTCAAGTGATTTTGCACATTTGATTCCACATACACTTTCGATTCCACGGTACATACTCGTATCAAAAATTCGCGACGGACTGTGGCTGCTCATCGTTTTGAGGTTCAAGTAAGTACACCTCGAACTTCAATGTTTGAGAACTCTTTCATCTGGAGAAATGCGTTTATGTGGAATAAACTTGAGAACGTTTTTCCAAATGGATTTAATCTTCATCGATTCAAATCCAATGTGAATCGCTACTTTCGCACAGGCACCGCTCTGAGACCGCCTTAAAAATTTTCTTGTAGGGCTTATGTTCTGTCCTATAGAAAAATCTGAAATATTTGCTATGGCAGTCATAATGACTTGCTGAAGATATTCCAGTGGAGGTAGATACTGAGGTTGTCGGAGTTTCGAATTGTAAAACTCCCACCTTATTATTCCCAGCAATCCTCCAACCTGACGATACATTAGATTCAGGCATGTAGGGAGAATCAGTCGTCTTCAGTATGGTGCTTCACAACTCCCCTTTCAGACACCCGTCTTCCAAAGCGGAGTTTTATGAAATCTTTCAATACGCATGGAATATAGATATAAATTTTTGTCTCATAGAAATGAGTGGTATTCCTTGTGAAGATGGTTCAGAATAATCATAGGACTACTCATAAGATAAGGTTTTTGAAGAACAACATGATGATATACCTATCGTAAAAAAAGAGTAAACGCCCCCTTCCTGCTGGTTGGCATACAACGTGCAATGTCCACTGTAGAATATTTACAGAATGTTCAATCAGTGCATAGATATTTCAACGACGGGGCTCTTCTGGCTGCTGCGTATTTACTCATTTCAAGCCCTTCGAGGGAAAACGTACTTCCGTTGCAGACAAAATGTTTCAGATGTATCAATAAAATTTCAGGTAATTTATGAATTGATCGTGCACTTCCTTCTCACTCTATATTTTGAGCAAGATACATTCACATTTCCGTTTCTAAGGTTTTTCTATAGTGAAATGAGCCAAACATTGTAACAAATTTGGCTGGACACTACGTCATGGAATATAGGGAGAAAAGTCTCAAAACGGGTCGACACTATTAGAACAGTAACCAAAATACATCCATTTCAAAGTTTTCTATCTTTAAGAACTCTAGCGTCGCTTAGACTGTGGTTTATCTTTATCAGAATCGATTGAGGTTTTTTTCCCATTTTTTTAATCAAGCCCTTCAACAGGTATCGTAAAAACTTGTGTTCGTCATCTTGGGTATTGCCAATTAAACTACGGGCAAGTCATGGTAGATCCTGATAAAGGGAAAACTGTAGTACCAAACGGTTCGTCTGCAACTGTGAGAACCAAACTTATGAGCAACGACTGTTTGAATCTGGCTTTTCATCAGACTGTCTGGCAAGTCCTCTGACTAGAGTTCCTTAACCACCTTGGCGAACGCATTGATTGAGTTGCATGTTGAACTAGAAATCTATTGAAATTGTATACACTGTTGATAAAATAGTTCTTACCAATGTTCTTCAGCCCATTTGGACTGAGAGATAGTGCTCTTTGTTATTAGTCTGATGATGTTCAAATTGATCATTTTCGATTATTTGAAACACATATTTCAGACAATCAGAAAGTATGAATATTCACACTTAATGAAAAACTATCAGTTATTTTCAATCTTAATAGGAAATAGATCTAACGGAAACATTTTACTCTCACCCGAACTAAAGCACTGTCGTTCGACACGCGTTTCCTTGACCAAGTTAGACTCATCAGGAGTTGATTAAAACTTGTGCCCTGACTCCCTGACAATACTAAATTGGTTATCGAAATGGCCATCGACAGAGAGTGTATTTATTGGTTCTGGTTAGGCAAAAGTGTTATCATTACATACATTATCTTGTTTATAAATATTTTTCAAATTAGGAACTGTAAGTTCCATACAGGAACCTATAGTGTTGTGAAATCGTTTCGCTAGCAGTTTCATTAATTTTGAAGTGGTAATATTAATTCCACCAGAAATTATTCAAATAATAGAAATTTTATCAATATTCAAAGTAGCATAGGTCCAGAAATAGTTTCATCATCTTTAGTTACTTTTTATTCAGTATAATTCATTTTTTAGGAATAACATTGGAAGTTCGGGGATTGGAGTCTGCATGCTTTGCAGCAAGAAGAAGATATTACGACAGCACAGAAAATAAAATGATATATCGAGCAAGGAATTGCATGGGAGGGACTCGATATAATACTTTTCTAGAGGTTGATCTTCCTTTATCTCGACGAAGTGAGTTTAAAATAGTTCAGTTGCAAAGTATAATTTGCAGTTCCACCTCAAAATATGTACCATAAATTTTGAGCTGAAAAAGTGATCAATAATGTCCACCATGTTGTTATATTTCATTTCAGTAATATTAGCTTTTACATCTTTGGATGAAAATATGCCATGAAATTTGACCTGTAATAAGCAACTGAATATTCCCAGAGGCGGCGTAAGGCGTGGGCGATGTGGGCAAACGCCCATGGCCTCTCGATGCAAAAAGCCTCTTGCCCCAAAACCAAAAATAAATTCAAAAAAATTATGGAAAATCCGAAAACTTTATTTCTTTCATTTGTTTTCATTTCAACCTCCTGACACAAAAAGGGTGTTATAAGTTTGATTTGTGTATCTGTTTATACGAATATTACTGGAGTTTTTCCCAACACCAAACCGTTATTTTAACACCTTGACACGTGTTTCGATCTCCAAGTGATCATCTTCAAGAGGAAGATCAGTTTGATCTTCCTCTTCAGTAATATTCATTACTACACCACAGGTTCCAAACAGTGCATCACAAGTATCTGTTTATACATCTATGTGTCTGTCTGTGGAACTGTAGCTCCTATATTAGTAGACCAATTTCTATGCGGTTTTTTATTTAATAGCTTATTTTGTCAGGATAGTTCTTAGATATGTTTCATGAAAATCGCTCCAGCCGTTTAAAAGTTTCCAGCCCGTTTCCATTATGGTTCCTAATTATTTTTCTAATTATGGTTAACATTACATCCACTTGACTGATCGAAATAAAAATTCGATATTCTTAGGAGAATGCACAATAACGTTTTTACTTTGACTTGTTGCCGCAACCAGAACAGTCTGCAAAGAACCAACTCCTCGGCAACTTACAGCAGACGGGACGTGTTTGGGCTCATTTTGAAGGTCTCAGTGAGTAAATAGCTGCAGTGACTTTCATACGGCGACCTACACATGATGTTTTTTCATTACTCTCAAGTCGGGTTTTGTTTTTTAATGTTCCGAAAAAGTACATCCGTGAACATTTTGGTGTTTCTGAATGAATGAAATATTGTTTAGTTTTAAATGGTTTTTTTTTTCATTTTATAAAATCCTCTTCTTGCACCATCAGAGGGCCTGGCGAAATCTATCTTACCCACATTAAATTCAGATCTTGCGCCGCCACTGAGAACACTAAAATGAGTGAGTTGAATATTCTCCCTCGTCCCGTCTCTTTGAATTATGTTACAGTTAAGTTCAACATTGTACGGAAATGCAGCTTCATTGAATACACTTTCAATACTCCTTTTCGATATAATTTTTTAATGATACATAATTATCTGATGGATATTTGCAGAGGATTTCAATATTGGTCGCTATGAACTGCCTTTTAGCTTTCCATTAGCCAAAGATCTACCCACAAGCTATCAGGGAAAATACGGATATGTCACATATTACCTCAAGGCTAAAATGGACGTTGTGGATGCTCCTGATCTTGAAGAGAAGGTTGATTTCGAAGTTCACTCATTTATAGACTTCAATGAGTTCATATCAGATTTGCAAATGGTTAGTATTGACAATCTAACACTTTTGGTGAAACTCATTTTGTGATCACTGATTCTGGTCAGTGTCGAATGTTGATGTTACTTTTGATTAGTTCATATCAAAGTCTTTATGTTGTTTACTACTTCAGTTGAAAATCAATTCATCCAAATATTAGCTTTATATCTCCTGAACGAGTTTTTTGCATTATTTTTCCATGAAGCAATTCATTATATTTTCAATGAAACAATATAGATAAAAATTGAATTTGACCATTGTATTCAAAGTCAATATCTATTTCACTAACATATTTTGCATGGTTTTCACAGAAACACTTCAGTTATCAGAACGAAAAAATGGTGGGTTCTTGCTGCTGTCCTGGTGGTTCAATATCAATTGACTTACGAATGGAAAAGATTGCATTTGTTCAGGGAGAAATGGCGAAAGTTCAGGTGGACTTAACAAACTTTTCAAATGAAAGAGTTGAGAAAATAGTGATTAAATTAACAAGGGTGAGATCATGTTGTACCATATCAGTACACAAACGCCAGTGAACTATGAGTTGACTGAAAGAATTAAAACCTTGATTTTATCTTGTGGGGTTTGATACAATCATTCACTGTTTCAAATATTCCAGAAACTTTACGGCCCTATTCGCTATATAATATTTCGTATCAGACGTACTGATACTACTCAGATATGTACCTTTTAGCACTCAGAAGCACTCATAGCCCAATAAGTAACTTGTTTTTTTAATATCCCTTCACTTAAAATACTTCTGCCGATATTGGAGGTTCGTCGTTCAATTGTCACAATTAACTTCAGATCTTTTTTTTACTCGTGGCAAAACCATCACAGTTTGAGGCGAGATATGTCTGTTCAAAATATGTTTTTCCGTTAATTGGCAGTTACCCCCATACGAACGACAACTCTCAGAAGTGGAAAAACTTGTGCGAGCTAAGGACTAACGAGGTCTTACCTTTCAACGTGTGATTCCTAACACGTTTGCAGAATCATCCCAGTTTCAACCACATAAATTCTCTCGAGAAAACTATCTGATCGAGGCGGGAATCGAACCCAGGGCCTTCCGATCGTTAATCGGGCGCACTACCACCGCGGCCAATTCCACAACTTTTCATATTTTCAGATTTTCATAGTTAATACAGGTTTCGAAAATGAAAAAGGATTTTTTCGAAATGTTAACCACTCAAGAAAGCTGAGTATCAAAATTAAATTTTCTTCACTTGATTTTTTTTCAAATTGTAGGCAGGACTTATGAATACAAGTTACTGACTAAAAGAACTTTCCAGTAATTTATATTACGGGGCGAATTTTTCAGTTTGCCCTTTATTACATTTCAGCAGATTTTCAATTGATTAAGCTTTTATTTTTTCAGATTGTGGAAGGTTATAAACCCCAAAAAAATTATTTTCGTACTTACAAAACTTGAGCTTAATGTTTTTACCCCTTTAAAACTTGCATATTTGATCCGGGTAATCAAGTTTTCTTTCAATTTAGGATGATACTAATGGTTCACAGGTGTTCGTTTAATTTCGAGATTAGGTACAGTCAACTTCAATAATCATACTATTTTATTAATATCAGACAATCAAATCTAGATTGGAACTACGACAGAGAGATTTTTTTCGGTACCAACACGATGTGTTATCCTCTAATTTTGACATCGGAGTAGAAGCAAGAGAACAGAGAACCTATGAATTCGATTTAGAAATTCCAAGATCCGAAGTCCTCTACAATTTCAAGAGATGTGTCTTTTTGTGTCAATGGTTCACTCTCAGTGTAAGTTAGTAATGAAAATCACCTCATATATTATTCTTGTTTTCATTGAATTGGAAATCTTAGAGATTAATTCGGAATTTAAAATAAATTGAAAGCGCCATTTCCTTCTGTGAGACATTTTCAGTGAATTATTCTGTGAATGAATATTATTTGATTCTTTGGAAATTGTGAAAGTTTCGAGTAAACTGCCGCCTATGCTAAAAATCGTATCAGGTGTGTTGATATCCGCAACAAACGCAAATTCAGAATAAACCAAAGTAACAAAGTGCAAAACCAGACGACTATCTGCCAGTTCCAACGGATCTAGCCTTCAGTCAAAATTTCACCGAATCGAAAACAACAGAAACTACACACATAGTTTACAGTGTCGGATATTATCTAATCAATTTCAAGGTCAAACATCCATTTTTTAAATTTTTTTCATAAATCTTGTAAATTCGCAGAGATACTAATTTTTTCTCATATGCTATATTTCTTCTCAGAAGTAGAGGCAACAGCAGAAAATGAGTGATCGCACGCCCAAAATTATTCAAAAACAACAGAATTTTCAAATATTCCACAGATATTCATTTGCTGATATTTGGCAAGGAGGCTTTTCTTCCTATACACTATTGAAGAAAAAATCGGGATTTTTTATCAGAGAAGTGGGGAAAAAACAATTACTAAGCAACTGTGGAAGATATGCTATACTATTCATTTGTGATTGAAATGTAAGTTTTGGAATGAAAAATATAGAATTTGAATATCATCTTTTTTTCAATTCGCTGATACATAACTTCGATTTATATAGGAAAAGAAGCCTCCGTGATAAATTCACAATATCTATTATCATATATTTTTAAAGCTGATAAAAATTAGTTATTGTTCAATCAACGAAAATCTTATTTTTTTTAAAAACATTTGTTATGGAATTGAATCAGATATCATTCACAGGATTGCTACACAACATAGTAACTGAAAGAGATAAAATTTTACTGACATGGAACACCGTCATCCTGAATATATTTTATAATCTGTCTGATAATATTTCATGCCGTGGACAATTTTATACGTGTTTGTGTTTCAATATAACCAGGCTCCAATTAAGTATATGTTTTCCCCATTACAAAAAAAAATAATATTTCGCATCTATCTGAAAAGGACTGTGGTGTGTATTTAGCGTTTACTTCGTAAGGAATAGGTCGTAGGCTTATGGCATAGCGGAGTTCATTTTTTAGATAATGTTCAAACATTTTTACACATTGAGGTAGTGCATAATGTGTATGTTTGAGAAAGTTCAATAACGTACGTATATCAATGTATTTTGAAATCAATTGCTTTCTTCCTTTTCTTTGAAGATTTCCACATTTTTTTGTGCAATGATAAAGAAGTAGAAATCCAAAACCTTTGTCTCCACGGTTAATACACTTTTTCTTTTTCATGCATATTTTTTATGATGTTAATATGACATTGTTCACCATACTAAAATTTTCTATCAAGTCTTGTACGTATTTTCCGAGACTTGAATATGATTCAGGTTATTTTACGTTTATCCAACGCTGAAAATTGGAACTTATCGCCCCAAAAAAACGTATAATGAAAAATCATTATAATGCAGACGTGAACAGATACAATGTTTACTGCGTATGGTTTTGCAAACAACATTTCGTTTGTCTCCTCGAAGAGCACCTGCACATCTTTCGCGAAAAAAGTTGTACTTATGATGAAAAGCTGTTAGAGCAAGATCTCAGAGCCCCCAGACCTGCGTCATTTTAGCAAAGCTGAAATTTTCAGGATCATTAGGATAATGTCTTGTTAAGAGGTATGCCTACCCATTAGCTTGAAAGCGGGGCCATTTCTCAGATAGCGCAAAGTACAGGTAGATAAAAACCTTACTTACCTAAGTTGAAGTAGAAACGCTAATATTTAAATATTTTTCGAAGAATATTATTCAAAATTAAAATTCATTACTGCCAGACACTTTCCATGGGCCATTACTTTACTTCTGCCAGACGTCTTGAAGGTTATGAAAAAATTAGGTAAACTACGTTATAGTAGCAAATATATATTATCTTAGGTACTATTTTAAGACCCTTTGTATGCGGCCAGACCAATCGGAAGGGCCAATCATCCCCCCAGACGCCATGAAACTTTACCTGTGAGCATTATTCATACGCATGAATGCGAATGAGAGCAATACATTGCTCCAAACGTGTTCAGCATGTTCTTTATTTATTCTATGATCGTGCAGCTGATGGCTACTTCATTGAATTGTGTTTCTGGAAACATTTCAAAGGAAATGGTAAAAATGTTAACACAATTAAATGCCACCAGAATTGACATTATTTTCAACCAATATTTCACTCCTTCCATAAAGGATTATGAGAGATCTATCCGACAAGAATGTACACAACTGGATTTCACTATAACTAGACCAGATTTGCTGATTTTGGAAAAGAATCAAGAAATTCCCACTTTAAACAGGCACTCGTAAATTTCTTTATTTCACATTGGGCTACAGACGAGATGGTACCTTTTATTGGAAATAAATTGATTATCAATTTCATAGAATGTCATTCTTATAGTGTCATTAATAATAGAGTTGTATCAAGTATTGATGAGAATTTATCGTGCCCAGAGCATGAAGAACCGGACACAAAAATCATTTATCGTGTATGCAATATCGAAACTCAAGCACAGGATGTGACTATAATCCTGCTTTCTTTAAGAAAGGCAAGCAAACACCTTTTTTAATACTCAAAAAATCTCCTGAATATCAGCAAACGTTCCTTAAATTTGGTGATCTTGAATTATTTATTGATAAAGATAAGGAACAAAATGTATTTGATGTAATACAAAAATTCATCTGCGAGTTATATAATGTCTCCGGAATAAATGATGCAGATGCTGCGCGGCTGCAGCTTTTCATAAATACATATACAGTAAATAAAGAATTCCACCAGCAAAATGTAAGAAATTTTGACGCAAGTAATTGACCACCATGTAAAACTGAATTACTTCAACAGTTTAGACGAGCAAATTATATTGCAAGTGTCTGGAGCAATGATCATATGAAGCATCCCAGCAATTTAAGACCTGAAAATAATGGGTGGATTTTAAAAGATAGCCAGTAGATAGTATAGCTAGTATAATGTAGTTTACCTAATTTTTTCATTAGCTTCAAGACGTCTGGCAGAAGAAATGGCCCACGGAAAGTGACTGGCAGTGACTGGCAGACTTTAAATAATATTTGAATATTAGCGTTTCTACTATAACGTAGGTAAGTAAGGTTTTCATCTACCTGAACTTCGCGCTACCTGTGAAATGGCCCCGCTTTCAAGCTAATGGGTACGCATACCTCTTAACAAGACATTGTACTAATAATCCTGAAAATTTCAGCTTTGCTAAGATACGTAGGTCTGGGGGCTCTGGGATCTCGGACTATGTAGAAAATTTCTAAGTAGACGATTGTGTCAGAAGTAACCATAATTATAAAATTACATACAATCCTGCTAGCTGAGTCTATTGATCTATCGGGTATCAAATTGGATACAACACGTCCTGGCCTAATCAACTTACTGAAAATGTGACAAAGTGGTTACTTCCCTAAAGATAGTTTCATGATTTCGTGAATGCGATATTTGTCAGTACTTGATAAAATACAGCTGTCCATCACTCAAAGATTCAACTCAATATACTTCCATCTACACTTTTTAAGAATTGTTTCTTTGGAATTTATGTGGAACAAACTTTCCAAAACGGTTTTTTCGAATAAATATAATATATTATACAACAATTTGAATCCAACATATATCAATTCTCTCAAAATTTTACTCCAGTGTTTGTACATTTCTAAAAAAATAATATCTTTCTATAGTAACTGGCGTCATTAGAATATCATGAATTGAATTCATGTGACTTTTTCATTCGTTATTACACAAATACATAAAAATTATCCCAAATAAACACTTTTCCCAATAAACCAACCAAGTTGGCATCCTCAGGAGATAAAGGAATGTAAGTTAACTTTATTGTTGTTCATCAATTTCAATATGTATTCCCTATCATAATCATTATTGTTATTATTATTAAAGAAAACGCGCGTCAAGAAGAGTATTCAAGGTGATTGGGAGAAATACTTCTTTTTGGATTTATTCCACGACAAAAGTTCCAGTTTTACTTTTTATTTTACACGATCAATTACTTTTATTTCTTAGGTCGAGGCTATCTTACCGGGAAACAATAAAAACATTATTGTTGAAACAAAGGTTGAAATTGGACATATACCTCTTGGAGGACTTAATGAAACTCAACAGAGGACACGTCAAGAATCTTCTCGACCAGATTTAAGAGGTGAGTATTGAAGATGTCAGTGTCGTTTTCATATACTCATGCTCAGATGATGACATGAGATTACATTAAAAGTAGATACTTTTATTATGATCAAAGGCGTTTTAGGCTTCTCCTGATCATGAAAACTTAGTTTGCGGAACATTAATCGAAAAAAGTGTTTCCATTAGTATTATAATATTTCAATATCTGATCAAAATCGGTTCTCAGTCGTACAATGTTAATTATTTTTCAGAATCTCCGACCATGAGATCCGGTTCACCCCCACCAACATATGGAGATGCTGTTATAAACTTTCCTGGTGATTCTGCAAGAAAGTCTCGTCGTCAATATCACACACCATCTGCACCGCTTCAATTAACATGAAACTTCAATTTACCATCAAATTTTCAAGTGGTTCATATACATTACAAATTGGGATATCGTATGGGATATTTGTAATTAATTGTAAAATTGTTGCTGTTAAATGAAAGTTATTTTCATTTTGTGACCTTTCGATATGTATTTTTATAATTGAGTTATATTGGACAGGTAATAACATGAATTTGTTAACTTGACTAGAACTATTGTTATGCGATTATAAATGCGCTGTCTGTTATTTATTTATTCATCTATGTTATCTCCTGTGAAGTAGTGCCCTCAGATATAATAACTTGTGCCAATCCTCAAAGCAGTTCTGATATGCACTTTTCATTATTTCCGTGGGTCTTGTTTGGACTCTGAAATATGAAAATAAAATTACTAGTATAGGTGTACTATACAGACCCCCTGATTTTCAAATACATCAATTTCTCGATTAGCTTGATAGTACTCTCAACATAGTAGCTCCTAAGTCAGACTTCATATTATTTGCAGGAGATCTTAATATAGACTTATTAAACGTAAGCAGCAATAATAGCTGTTGCTTGCAAAGGATTATTGATTCTTATAGCTTAAAGCAAATCGTAGGTTACCCTACAAGAAGGGATAAATTACTAGATCTCAGTATATCATCTGAAGAACTAAAAATTAACAACGTTAAAGTTACTGACTGTTCGACCTTCACCGATCACGCTTAATATCTTGCTCTGTAGGCACCGTCAAAATTAAACGCGAGCCCTCAGTCCATCTTTATCGTGATTTCAGAAATTTCGATCCACATTTATTTGAAAATCACTTGCTTCACACAGATTTTTCAGAGATATTCCGTACTGATAATATTGAGGAGAAAGTGAATTTGTTCAGTGAGATTTTATTAAATTTGTTTGATATCCATGCTCCGATGCGAAACGCTAGAGTCACTAAAAAAAGGCACTTTGGCTAACGAATACTCTGAAAATGATGATGAGGACACGTGATAATGCATATAATAGATTTAAAAAATCTCGAGAGCAGCGCCATTGGGAATATTATAAAGCTTTGTGTAACGAGGTAAACTATGCAATCAAATGTGAAAAAATGGAAGGAACTGAAAAATATGAACATTATTACTAGTAGTAAGAGGTCTCTCATTTCGGACAGTTTAACTGGTGATCTCAATGTACTGAACAGTAACTTTATCTCTGGTACAGGTTCGAAAACCCTGACAAACATACCGTCAAATATTTCTCCAATCATACTTTGGAGAATGTTAGACAGTTCTCGTTCTCTCCTATTGACGAATTGAAGGTTCAAGAAAAGTTACTTTCCATCAAATCCACGGCCTTTGGCCCAGACAAAATTTTCTTAACGATGATCCTGTATTGCTGTCCTCTGATTTTGCCATGCATCGTTCACATTTTTAACTTCTGTCTAATTAATTCTGTTTTTCCTTCTGTTTGGAAACAATCAAATACTATCCCATTGCCGAAAAAACATGACGTTACAATGATCTAAGGCCTATAAGCATACTCTGCACCCTGTCAAAAGCTCTTGAAAAAATAATTGACGAACAGATTCGTGAGCACGTCCTGATGCACAATGTTCTTCCACACCTCAAAGTGACGGATGACATTCTCATATATAGATGCGAACAAGCTTTGTGTTCTCGTACTTCTTAATTACTCAAAAGCTTTCGACTAATCATGAATTGTTGCAAGCTGTTCTACTCTATATAGGCTTTTCTCCATCATCGCAGCAACTTATTGCTGCTCATCTCAATAAACGTATACAGTTTTACTGAAGTCTACATCATCAGATTCGATCGAAACCTTGTGTGGTGTACCTCAGGGATCAATATTGGGACCGCTACTCTTCACTATTTATACCTCTCAATTCTGTGAACATCTGAAACATGTGACATCACATTTCTATGCAGATGACACGCAGCTGTACCTCGCTTTTGATGAAAAAGATATTGTTGCTGCCTCCAATATCAGAAAAATTCTCTTTGTCCATCAATCCAACCAAATCCAAAAATATACTTTTCGGTAGAAAATCGACCAAAAATAGATCCCGCCCCTGATTTCCTTTCACATTCGCAATGAAACACTCGAACTGTCAAATTGCGAAAAAAATTTAGGCCTATTTCTTGATGACTCTCTCACGTTTTCCACGCATATATCACATATGATCAATAAAGTTTTCGTAAACCTAAAACAGATCTTTTCCAACAGAGATATTCCAAATGAAGCTTGCAAAATTACCCTATGCGAGTCACTCGTCTTATCACAGCTAAAATTACTGCGATGTTGTTTATGGGCCGGCTATCAAAAATTCCGATAGAACTCGCCTACAAAGACTCCTAAACTCTTGCACCCGACTGATATGCGGTATTGAAAGACGGACTCCGACCTCAAGTTACATTACTGGACTGGGCTGGTTGCCTATGAACAAACGACGTATTTTGCATTGCTGTGTATTATATCACAAAATTCTACTCCCAAAAAAACCTTCATATATCTACTCAAAAATCCAGAGGCGTTCTGAAGCGCACAATGTAAATGTCCGGTTTCGACAGAAATTATCTGTACCCATGCACAACACTTCGCTTTAACGATCTTGCTTCTCCTATGGCCTCGCTAAAATCTACAATTGTATCCCTGATGATTTCAAAAACTTGTCAATCTTTAATTTCAAGAAAAAGGTTAAAGGTCTTTTGCTGGATGGTACTTTAACAATAGACTTCTGATTATATTGATGAACTTATGTGAAATTCATTGCACTTTGTGACATAATTATTATTTTTACTTATATTGATGTGTAAATTCTTTTTCATTTGTACCATGTTTATGAGTAGGTATATTCTTTTTTTTTTCTGGAGGGACCAGTTCTTGTCACTGGTCCCTTCACGTGGTTGAGTGGAAGAGCGCTATTCTATCGTTCTCATGAGGTAGAAGAGCGAACGATGCCATTTGCTACTCATTATTGATTGAACTTATTCTCTGTAACTGCTGATTGTGTAGCAATAAAAACATTTATTATTATATACCCCTATACCAGGGGTCTCAAAACATTGAAGTCTTCGGGCCATAATGATTTTTTCAGTTTGTTCCAAGGGACAATTTCTGCCCTTAACTATATTTCTAGATTAGGATAGTCGCAGAGTGCGTGACCAAAGCAAACTCACGCTTTTTTTGCATTTCAATTATTATCGTGTATTGTGACACTTATCGACATCTAGTGGCGAGCAGTTTGATGTAGGCAAAAATATGTATGGTAAAAATAAAGGAGTGGTTGCACTTATGTCAAAGACTGTAGAAAATTATGGTGGTTCAAAACCATTATTCTTACATTGTATCATTCATCAACAGTCATTGTGCGGAAAATGTTTGGATATGTCTGAAGTTCTAAAACCAGTCATATCAGTTGTTAATTTCATCAGATCCACTGGGCTGAATCACCAACAATTCCGCGAGTTTATTTATTTACAGATTGGAGAAAATGATTTACCATATCATACTGCCGTACGCTGGCTTAGTTGCGGAAAAGTCCTCAAGCGCTTTTTTGAACTTCGAGCAGAGATCTAAATTTTTTTAAATGAGAAGCAGCGCCCTTTTTGCCGATTTAGAAAATAGTGAATGGATGTGGAAGTTAGCCTTCTATGTCGATTTGACAAATCATATGACCGAACTGAATTTGAGATTGCAAGGAGAAAATCAGCTTCTTCCTGATTTATACACCAATATCAAATCTTTCAGGTAGAAAATAATACTATTTCAATCGCAATTACTTAAAAATGTTTCACACATTTTGAAACATGTGAAATATTCAACCACACTACAGAGACTGAATTTCCCGTCAATTTTGCAATCGAAACTTTGAGTTCTTTGAAGATAAATTTTGATACTCGTTTTTCAGATTTTAATGTCATTTCGAATGAAATTAAGCTTTTTCAAAATCCTTTCGATTCTGACATTGAAACCCTGGCTCCGGAAGTCCAAATGGAAATTATTGATTTACGGTGCAGTGATATGCTTGAGAACAAATATCAAAATTCATCTTTGTTGGAATTTTATAAGAGTCTTCCACTGGAACAATTTGATAATTTGCATAAATTTGCTCGTGGGTTGTTTTCTGTTTTTGGTACTACTTACTTGTGTGAGAAAACGTTTTCCAAGATGAAGTACACAAAGAATGTTCACAGATCTCAATTAACCGATGAGCATCTTAAATCTCTTTTGATAATTGGTACAAGTAAAATTGATCCACAACTACAAAGTATTGTCGGTGGAAAATCACAATTACATAAATCTCATTATTAGTGTTTTTGTACTGTGATTCATTTCAATTATTTGTTAGTTATTAATATGCTTAAACTTAGATACTTAAGTTAAATTTTCTTTGTCATCATTTCTGTCGTTAAGTTTTACCTTGTAAGTAAATAAAACCGAGTAATTATCATTCTATGTTTTCTTCTTCAACTTATCACAGCAATAGTAATAACAATTAGGTAATCATTGGCTGTCGCGGGCCAGATTGATGACAGTAAATCATTGGCTGTCGCGGGCCGGATTTGGCCCGCGGGCCGTGGTTTGGAGACCCCTGGCATAAGACATAACGATCTGCCCGTATTGTCCACAAATAAGATCGCCATTATAAAATGGATTCCTAATATAATCAATGAGTACTTTCTCGTTTCACACGTTACCCGTATATAAGGTTTTTTATCGACTCATCTTCATCAGGCCCCATACCAATAATTTTGATATTCCAACCGTTGGATTAGAGCCCAGGTATTGAGTTATTGATCTTTATTTGGCAAACCCATCAGCTTTTTTGTTTTTATTGCTGAGTTTCTTGTTATTGCCGATGGCGGTAGTTTCTGCATCTTTGGTAACCAAACAAATACTCGTTTTGCATATGTTATGATGGGTTTAACTACCATTATTTAAAGACATCATGACTGGTTTTAGCAATCACGTATTTTCTCACCTGCGTCTGACTGACAACATTACTACCCAGACTTTTAATTCTTTCTAGATTTCGGTTGTCTGGGATCTAGTAATACCCTGAGATATTGAAGTTTACTCCAACAATTACATGCCTTCACCACAAAGTTTCTGGTTCTTTTGATGTATATCACTATAGTCGATTCATAAGGACTTCTTAAGGTATTCTTTCTCGGTCTATCTTGTTATACTACTCAGCCATTGTTAACTTTTGTAACTGTAAAAAAGTATTATCGAATATGTCCTCAATAACCATTCATAAAAAGCAGATATTAATGTTGGTTTTAATGCGATAACCGAATAGATGTTATACATTTCTCCCATGTGTGCTTTTTAGGGTTTTCAAAGCAAGACTCATTGGTTTCAATACCTCAACCGAATCCTATCTGATCTTAAATGTTTCTGTTCCAAAATTTTCAAAAGATGTTTTCCTCTATCCCGGTTCTTCTTGTTAGAGAAAAATGAAGTGACTTCTAAAAAATCTTTACTCTGAAGTAATGTAAAAGTAATGTAATGTAAAGTAAAGTAATGTTCAATATTTCACCAATTAGAATGAGGAATGTTCCACATATACAGGGTGCCCCGCCACATTCGCCTCGGTATTTCTACGAGAAATGAAGAGAGTTGGGAAAAACTTTTAGCACAGTTGTATGTGCAACTTAGGAAATAAAAGTACGAATAAGAAGAGCGTTTCATTCCATATCGCAAAATATAATATCCAGAGTTAAGCCCTCATTTCAAGAAAGAGTTCGCCTATGCATCGAGAATAATGGACACCATTTTGAGCATTTATTGAAATGAACTATTTAAGATTCTTAATTTTTCGATAAAATTACTTCAAAAATGCTTTTTTGCTTTTCATTACAATACAGGGTGTTCCATTTTAAAGATGAAAAAATTACTCATAAGTAAAATATTAAAACGCCGTTTGTGTAAAAATCAGAAGAGATATGTATAGGAAACCCTAATATAGTTTTGAAGGGAATATAATAGTAACTCACCTTCATTTTGTCTATAGTAAATATAAGTAGTAAATATAAAAAAATAGAGGGTGTTTCATAAGAAAAAATATAACTTTGGTATGTAACTTTTTTAGGAGTCACCCTATATACTTCATAATAATTTTGGAATTCCCTAACTCTCTTCATTTCTCGTAGAAATACTGAGGTAGATGTGGTGGGCTACCCTGTTGTTGTACAACAAATACAATATTACTTTGTTATTAACTACTTGAATCAATGAGCCTTTTTGGACTTTATTCCCAATTAATAACATTATCTATTCGATTAAATATTCACTATAGGATTTGATACACTCAGAAGGTAGGGAGATTGAAAGATATAGATAACAAAACGTAATGTATTACTAAGTAAAATAACCACTCGCCTAAAATGTACAAAATATTACAAATTACTAACTAATCAAATTTCTACCAACAACGATAAATTTGTTGGATTCGATATATTTACAGTAGAATAAATACACTGATGATAATGAAAATATATTTTTACCAGCTAATACAGTGTGTCCCACTTTTCATGAATCCACCTCCATATCTTTGTTGTTCAGAATGCAATTTCGAACATAATGCAATATTGTTGTATGTGTACAATTTCCCAATATGATCGGATTCCAATCTAAACAAAAGATATATCGGAGTGGATGCGAAAAAAGCGGGACACATTGTTTACATAAATATATTTTCAGATATACAGAAAGGAATGGAATGAAAAATAAATAATACCAATATAAATTAAAATATACGAAAAATGTATATATTCTATTCAATTTCCGTTTTTACATTCTATCCTTCCCTCAACATTGAGTTCTCATGAAATTGAATGAAAGTGAAAAACAAATTCTGTCAATAACCCAAATGCTCTATGAACAATCGCATCAATTTTATCTTCGTAAGGAAGCTCTAACTATACTACTGAGAACTAACCAAATGTTCGAAACCACTAGTGCATTTTTCTAGATTATTGAATCTCTTATTGGAATGTTTACAAGATTAGAAACTTGATACCTTTAAAATAAAAAAAAAATTGTTTCAGTTATTTATTCATTTCTGTTTGGAGAACAGCAAGTAAATCTATAAAAATCTCATAAAAAAAATAATGGGAAGCATTTATAAATTTATATATTTGAAACCAACACATTGAACATTGAACTTATATAAACCAAACAATTTATTGGACTCAAATTCACTCTATAAACTTCATTCATTCTGTTGAAAATAATACAAAGAAATCAAACTCAAATTTTATTCGAATTGGACATATTCACAATCATGCCACAAGACAAACCAAATTTCTGTGAAAAATCAAGAAACAAAAAATTTTGCAAAAAAGTCGATGTATCACAATGGGATCATTATACATATATTCCATTTCAAAATTCAAGTGTCACCTAAGATATGTTATGTGTTCATCGTGAAATATCTTTTTTCTGTTATTTTATAATACTTTGTATTTATTTTTAGTCCCTAATTATAAGCATTCATGTTTCTTAACAGAATAAACTGAAATGAATTGAGTAAATTAATAAAGAGTTTGAAAATCCGATTTGGGAGATTAGTGAAATGATCCTAATAGTGTGCTTGAAGTTCAACAATTTGCTGAAATAGTTTTAACTATAAGCTAACCTGGCAGTATTTAATTGCCCAGATTTTTGGACCAACCGATATCTTGAGACGGGACCCTCAAAGTTTTTCAAAATTCACCCACACACCTCCATCAACAACGGGAACCATGGGAGAAGGAAGAAGTCGGATGGGTGTTATTGTTTTCTTGTCTAACGTCACCCTGTATTTTAAAATTATGTTAGCTAAGGCTAACTTAACCTGCATAATGCCAAATCTTTCACCTGAAAAAAATAAAATAAAAGTAGTCGTTGTCAATTAAAAGCGCTTTCAGGACAGTTATTAACTACTAATATAATCATTTTGTATAGTGCACACTGCATTTCAGTTGAAACAAATCACACTGCAAAAGTCATATGATATTAAGACAGAATCGTGAAACATTCAACTTCAGTTTTCAGTTAGACACCTTTCCAAGTGAAAAATCAACACTCTGTTAGTCACAACAACCACACGTTGAAAATTTTAACCCAACTCAATTTCAACTCGAATAGGAGTCGAGTAACACCTTATTTAATATGTCTTTCAATTCTGTATCCAACTCTGTAAGATTTTTGACGTTACAACGATGAGCAATGTCAGAAAAAATTGAATAATTTTTGGAATCGAATCGAAGGATTTGGGTGGCCATTCTGTAGAACCTCTCGTTCTTATCCATCGACCAGAAAAGTTATGATTGCGTACTGGTACTACGCAATGTGTTGGAGCCTTATCTTGTTGAAAAACTTCCTCTTGTCGCAATACAGGAACTAACAGATTGGTAGTGTTTGGTATAACTTGATTATTTAACGGAATGAAAAATATTTTTTATGGCAAAATCCAAGCACTACGGGAAAATCCTTGAAGCGCTCGAAGAGCGGTGATTGTGCGAAAGTAGCAATACACGTTGGATATGAATCGATGGAAATTGGATCCATTTAGGAAGACATTCTCAGGAAGTTCATTCCTCATAAATGCAGTTCACCGAATGAAAGAGTTCTTAAACAGTAAAGTTCGAGATGAACTGAGTGGAACTTCAAAACGATGAGCAGCCAAAGTCCGTCGCGTATTTCTGATATATATCGCTCTTGGTGGAATCGAATGTGCAAGTCACTTGAACACCTATCGTGAAAGTATCCATTAAGAGAGACGAATATTCAACCTTTCTTCGATATTCCAGACTAATAAGGTTGCAAGTTTTTGTATCAAATCAGGTGAATAGCTCTTTTCTGGATGGAATCCAGCAACTTCAGAGTATGCTTATGGGCGAAACTCCAAACTAAATTAGAGTGTAAGAAGTCGAGAAATATTCGGAAGTGACTAATGTTCAACGCCTACCTACTTGTAATAATGCTCCAGAGAACATTTCTGAAAATCATCTTTCGATTTTGATACACCTATCTCTAGTTTCAAACTTGTTCATCAAACAAAAAGACACTCCATCTGTTTCAAACACCACTAGGTATCAAAACATTTTTGAGTGTTTAAAATTATATTTACCACCAATCTTGTGATCTCTATAGAACACGTTTTGGAATTTAATGATACTGAATGAAAGCTTTCTAAGGGAAACAATAAAATGTATGTTTTTGAATACTTCTGAAAATTGACATTTTTATGAAATGAAAGTGTTTCGAATGATAAGACTAAAAATACGTTCTTTGGATATTTTCGCAAAATGAATATTTTTATGTTTGACTCTCAATTGCAATTTCAAAATCAATTTTCGACAGTATTGATTTCCATTCCTATTCCAGTTTTTATTGATTTTATACCAAAAAATTGAAGATAGGCAACAAAACGTTACCTGAAATTAAATGTAGATTTCAAAGGGTCTAATAGGATTTCCGAAGGTTCTAATGAAGGGTACCTATATTGTTTGAAAATTGAAAACTTCTTGAAATCTGCTGTGGAATCTATCCGCCACGGTGATTTGGCAAAACATACTGTAATACTAAACTTCGCGCGGCTCAGATTGTTCGCCAACATTTATCGTTAATTCAGTCAACATTGAAATGAGTCTGTGGTCAGAAGATCCCAATGAAGATCTTACGGTGACTGTGTTAATTTCTGGATTGGTAGTTAGGTATAGATCAAGAAGACTAGCATATTCTTCATCACGGTCAGGAATCCTGATTGGCTCATTTATAATCTAAGTATGTCCGCAGCTTCGTGACCTTGTTCGTCGTTTTTTTTTTAATTTCAATCCTTTATTGTGAACATTGAAGTCACAACGTCATTCAGATTTGCTTTCAAAAACAATGGTTCTATAATATAGTCACCAGAATTCCTGAACAAACATTTAACTCTTGGGAATATTGGGTATCAATTTGGCATGTTAGATTGGGATTTGAATCACCCCCATAACGGAGATGTTGACGATTCACTAGCTCATTCAGATAAAAAATACATTGATTCAAGAAACATGTGGTATACAACAAAACTAGATTACGGTTGACGTGTTCCAAGAAGATCTCACCAAATTCAACTTCTTTGTAAAAATCATCTTGTTCTATTTATGAATCATTTTTATTTTGAAAGGGTGGAATTTGTGTTGACGAAGCATTCTGAAAATGTTCATTCGACTCAGTCCTGACGTTGACGCCTTCATTATTGACTATTCCTAGACGGCCATGTTGTATAATTAACGTTACCAGTTTGCAAGAATTTGTGTAACAGTTCCAATAAATATTCACATTTCCGCCGGATGATTCTCATTGTCGTGAAACAAAACTAGTTTGGAATTTCACGAGCTCCAGTATGAGGACCGCCCACTCAGAATGAATATTGAGAAAACGTGGAAAAACATTGGTTTTCCCAAGATATTTCAGCATAGTTTAGAAAATTAAGATATGACATATCGTCTCCTCTTGCAAGATTAATAGCATTCGTTAATTTTAAATAGGGGAAACGGCGATTTTCTGGAAAATACCATTTTCATTCAGTTAGATAGGGAAATCATGTTTTCTTCAAAGAAACGTAGATAGAACTTTTAACTAGCTTTCGTTTGACACTAGAACCATTTTTGCAGTGCGAATGGTTCGGATTTCATTCAGATTTTCGTCCGGTGCGAAATTTTAATCTTCAAAGGAATTTCGCCAAAATCTTCGAGCAAATTGTAAAATTGCATGTAACGTTTTTTGATTCGAAAAGCATTTTTTGTGCAAGAAGGAATGGGAATATCGAGACGCGGCATAAGACTTTTTGTCTTAGGATGCTGTGTTCTATATGAAATCGAGGAAAACGAAAATTCAGAATTTTCGTGATTTTCCGAAGATTTCCGAGTAATGTCGAAAACTGTTAGATTTCATTTATCGAAGAACGCAAATTGAGGAAGCGAAACGATACATGTAAGGAATGAGATAGAAACAGCGGCATATAGACGTCAATGGAAAGTAGCAAGCGGTATTCCTACTTCAAAGCCCAGCGCCTGCAGAAAAACAGGTCGTAAACGCTGGCAAATCCATACGAAATGAGTTTTTTCCGTTGTGTAAATATTGAATCTAGGTCAGGCAGGATAGCACAGCTTTTGCGATAGCCGATTGGCCGAAAGTGGCGCGGAAGAGAGTCCGTTTATTTAGCATAAATATACGAATTTCCAAGCCACGATAGTTAGTCGAAGTTTGAACATTGAACGAGTAGCAGTCATCTTAAAAATCCGAAGATTTTTCGAAAGTTTGAAGCTACGGTTGGGATTTATTGAATGAATTCGAGCCTCTGGTTCTTTTCAGAACTTAATAGAGACAAAGCATACCACATAAGTCTTTAGGGATCTGCGGTTATCATTAATTAGTGGAATTGGAAGAATTTTTACAGGAATCAGGAATCTCTAGGACCAATTGAGATTAAATCAAAGCAGATTAGTGGATGGATATTTATTCGAGGAATTCTAGGATTGTGGAAACTCTGGGATTTAACAGAGCTAATACTGGAGCAGATTACTGGTTGGATAACTTATTATAGTGCTTAACCATACTTTACGTTTGTCCAGGTTCCTTTTGGCACTCCGCCAGAGGAAAGCAGCCCAAATCCTGCAAAGGAAGAGCAGGTCCCTACTAAAGTTGCCCGGTCTCACTCCACCCGATCACCTTGCGGTGTTAAACGATCGAGGTGTTTCGAGATTAAACTCGGGAGGGTCAAGACATCATTAGTTACGTTCTTCGGGCGAACGACTCAACCTAACCGTTGGGACCTTCCAGGATTACGATACCTTTCTACTTTATCCTGCGAGCGGCCCTCATCCTAGGGTACTGTTCAACCGTTAGGCTCCTTGTTCCTAAATCACCAGCTCAGTTCACCCTGTAGGCCTCGGATAGGAAAGTAGCTTTCGCGATTCAAGGGTGAACTTAAAAACATTAGATTTCCGTGAATCCTTCCCTCTGACTATTTCCTCGTCAGAGTCATTTTAGGGAAACTTGAAATCGCAATGCAGACTAGAGCAAGACAAGCGCGAGCGCATCTTGCAGAAAATACACCAGTGCCAAATCGCGAGACCACAAGCTTCGGTCAATCTAGTTCCTTGTCAGACACGCTTAGCCGCCTGAGTGCGACTTCTACAAGCAGACGCGGAACCCCTCAGGACTCTGTTTTCACAGGAAACAGTATTCCGAGAACTCCGGTAGAGATGGCCAGTCTGAGGGCACCCTCTACTCAACGTAGACCTTTTGCGCACGAGGACACCAGTACCTCTCCCGTGGTCGCAGAGCGACAAACCTTGGGCATTGGTGGTTTTTCAGCAAGTCTAGTAGCTAGAGAACTCGACACGACACAAAGGACAGAGTCCTCAAATCGCGAAAAAACCCCGCGAAATAGTGAAATTGTATTAAACCGTTTTAGGGCATTAAATACACCGAATACGTTACAAATGGATCAAGAAACATTTGCAAGAGAACGTCAGGAGATGTTACTCCGAGAAAATGGACATCGGCTCCGAAAACGAGCCAACAGCGTTTTTCATCAGAACCGGAACAACCGGAACAATTTGAAATGTTTAACCGGCGGCGACAACCGGAGGGTTGTCTGCCTCTAGACTTGAGAGTTTTCCCCGAAGGAAAGGTTTTGAGCGAAAACATTGAGGCGGTGATACCTACTTCTGTAGTAGAGTCACCAAGGGTAATGTTTCACAGGGTGTACAGCCATCCTGTGATAACAGTAATTAGCGAAATGTCGAAGCCATTGTCAAACCCGACAAGAGAATCATGCTACCATGGACAGGACTTTCGAAACAGCGAATGTTTCGAAAGAAGAACCACCGGACAGGACTTTCGAAACAAGGAAAGTTTCGAGAGGCGCGGTGAAGAACAGCGTTTCCAAAGCGAAGAAGGATTTGGAGATGCTGGCAATAGGGAATCAAGCGACGAAGCACAGGTCGTCCGATGCCAGGCGTCGCGATGCCCCTAGGGGGGAACACTTAGGGGTCATCGCGCACAGGAGCGCCTCGACCCCGGTTCGAGCCGGATACTGACGACCTAGCGGAAGCGCTAGGGGGTGGTGGAATGCCAGGGAGTCACCCTGAAGCCGAGAGAGGCTTGGGGGTGGCCTCATGGCGGGGTCAGTACTTAAACGCATCCCGATTCCCAGACTATGAGCGAACCGAAGCATACCAACCTCCCGTTGCACACAGGCAAGAGCTGAGTCCTGAAATCCCAAGGGCTCAGATCTGGGAGGCCAGCCAGCCGTTGCGACGAAGGGTAAATGCGGTCGACGGGGACGGAGTCGTAGGACACGCTCCCTCAACGGAACCCGACTATTACCCCACCGGAGGACATCATTGCCCTTGCAGATTATCCATATTGAAAGTATAAATCCATTATTTCAATCCGTTCTTGAAGTATATAAACCATTCTTTATCAAACAAAAGATAATAAACGAAACTCGAGTTTAAATAGAGCAGAAAAAAAAAACTGTATTCACCAATGCATATCCTGGGGCCTGCTCCAAAGGGAATGAAAGCGAATGGTGGTATCTTTTTCTTATTCTCTTCACTGAAACGATCTGGATCGAACACCAGTGGATTAGGATAGTATTCAGGATCTCGGTGTATTCCAGTTATGGTGACCAAAACATTCGTTCCTTTTTCAATTATGAGGTCTTCTCCGGGAACCTTGTAATCCTTAGTGCACCTCCTATTGATTGTATGGGCTGGTGGATGTAATCTCCAATTTTCTAAAAAACAACGTTAAAATTAGCTCAATCAAAGAAAATTTCACGGGTGTATACAGTACATTTTTGATCTTGAAGAATGAAATTATTTCTGCATTTGACAAAAGTGAGTATTTCAACTAGTTATTGAGACTTTCAGATTGTTAAAGAAATAATGAGGTGGACTGACGAAATTCCAAAACTCCATTATAGGCATGACCCCTCTCAATATTGCCGAAGAACACAATATTTCAGTAATAAGCTGAGTTTTTGATACCCATTATCTTGTTTTTTCCATCCACTTTGGAATAAGCGCGAAAAGATTCGTAAATGCACTGGTGTCGATTTGGGATATCACGCTTCAGGTAAAAATTACATTCTATCAATTCTCAATGAAGAAAGTATACCAAAAAAATACATATTTTGTATGACAGAAATGAATTCCAAAGTTTACAAGTTGTGTTCATCTTTCAACTGCAACGTATTTTATGTACAAAAAAACTTGTTTTAGTTTCGAAAATAAACTCGAAACTCCACGAAACAGACAAAAACAAGTATGAGGTTTCAATTAGAAAGTTTCAAGTGATTCTAACATAAATCCTACAACAGTAGATTATCTTGAACGATCACCATGATCCTACAAACTAAATTAGAGTGTAAGAAGTCGAGAAATATTCGGAAGTGACTAATGTTCAACGCCTACCTACTTGTAATAGTGCTCCAGAGAACATTTCTGAAATTCATCTTTCGATTTTGATACACCTATCTCTAGTTTCAAACTTGTTCATCAAACAAAAAGACACTCCATTTGTTTCAAATACCACTACGTATCAAAACATTTTTGAGCGTTTGAAATCATATTTACCACCAATATTGTGATCTCTATAGAACAAGATTTGGAATTTAATGATACTGAATGAAACCTTTCTAAGGGACACAATAAAATGTATCTTTTTGAATACTGCTGAAAATTGACATTTTTATGAAATGAAACTGTTTCGAATGATAAGACAAAAAAGACGTTCTTTGAATATTTTCGCAAAATTAATATTTTTATGTTTGACTCTCAATTGTAATTTCAAAATCAATTTTCGACAGTATTGATTTCCATTCCTATTTCAGTTTTTATCGTTTTTATACCAAACAATTGAAGATAGGCAAAAAAACGTTATCTTAAATTAAATTTAGATTTCAAAGGGTCTTATAAGATTTCCGAAGGTTCTAATGAAGGGTACCTATATTGTTTGAAAATTGGAAACTTCTTGAAATCTGCTTTAAGGTTATAGAATCATATATGTCAAAAGTTCTTTTATATGCTCGTCCAATCTTTAAATTTGAATGAAACAAATTGTGTGTGAGATATCAAAATTTTTTATTCTTTTGAAAGACCATTGTGTGTGGAATATATCCGCCATGGTGATTTGGCAAAACAGACTGGATGAATGACAACTAATTTGACAGGTGTGGCTTCAACAAGATGACCGTTATCAATTTTCAAAGTTCGGCCCCTTTTGGAAGACCCTATAGAGTAATGGAGTTCAGAAAATTCCATAATTTTTATCGAACACTCATGAGGCATGACAAGTCATTTATTCAAGGCTTACAAAGTTTTTAGAGCATAATTAAACTTGATTCAAGAATATATTCTTGAGAGGTTCTACACAAGTATTGAAGATTCTATGAATAGGTACTTTAGAAAGTCCCCATGTCATACAATATTTTCTCTTTGCCTAAGATATTTATTGAAGTTTCCAAATTTTTCATAAAACTGTATTGTTCATAATGAATACGTCTGATGAAGCTATTGTATAGTGTCAGTGAAAATTTTGCAATACAATGTTAATTGAATACGTAACGGATTTTCATCAAGAATTGGTCAATTCCATCATATATATTTCAAAAAGGTGACTTGATCCATCTCCACCCGAAATTTGCTTCCGGATTGGGACTAAAGATGAATGAAGGCCATCACTTTCTATTTCATTATATCAAAACCCAATAATTGAAATACTATTTCGTAAATGTTTCAGATTAAATTATTCAAATAAATCTTACGATAAAGTTATTAATATTACAATTTTCCAGAGAATAATTAAGCAAAATTCAATAAAATCACACAATGTCCAAAAAATTCGTGGGAATTTATAGCACCGAACATTTTTGAAGTTTTCCTTTTTTTGTACGAAAAACCGACACCCTGAAGTAAGCGTCTTCTTTAATTCATATGGCCATTGCTTCTCAGTCGAGCGCATTTGGCCAGACTCCTCCTGTTCATAGTGAATAGAAGTTTCGTCCGGGGGCGCAGCTGTCTTGCTTGAGGCAATGCTGCGATCCTGAGTTTATCAATCAATCAATACTTCATTGTCATAAATAACATGGAATTCTTGTGGACAAAGCACTCGTGTAAATAAAAACACTTAATACTACAATTAGTCAGTCAACATATATGAAACAAGAAAACAAGTAAAACGAAGGTTTCTGGCACTATTTTATAAAGGAGAATTGAATTTAGAATCCGTAGCAATAAAAAAAATTCAATTGAAAGATATCCGCATAAAATTCTTTCAAAGTAAAATACGGAAGAGTACCACCTACACAGCAATAAGTAAACAGTTTTTTTAAAATTATCCGAGGTATTTATTTTTCTCATAAAATCAGATAAATGATTGAACATCTTGCAACAATTATAAATAATAGAGTCCTTCACTAAAATAGCCGTATTGAATTTATTCAGTTGTTTTTTAATCAGACAATCTGTCTCTGCTGTGAATATGTAGCTTAGGCAAGACAAAAAGTTGTTTGCATGGATTACGTGTCTTTGCTTTAGAAATGTATCTGATTGCTCTTTTTTGTGTGATTGAGATGCTATGCGTGACATTATTATTGCATACTCCCCAAAATGGGAAACCGTATCTCAAATGGGATTCGATTCATGCATGGTATACTTACTATTTCTGCAGCAGAGGATCCAGTTCCTGCGATACAATTTTTACTACAAAACAACCAGAGGCCAGTTTTTTATTTAAGTTCATCGCATGCTCTTCAAATTTCAAATTATTATCAATGAACACTCCTGGTAACTTAGTGTTGTTACGGTTTTCTATGTAACCCTTATCCAGTTTGATGTTACCAATATCACACTTGAGTATAATATATTGGTTTTTGAAACGTTAAGGACAAGAAGGTTAGAGTCACACCCACTTTTCATTTTTTTCACATCGCATATCATATCGCAAATAACTTTTCTTTCCAGGTCAATTGTATGTTTGTAACTTTTTTTTCTTTAACAACACTTCTAGTCTAATCAACAAGTTCAAAAACATGAAAAATAGAGATGAAGGTCCTGAAAATATGAGCGATAGCTTTTTAGATTAGGAATCACTTCTATAAAAATGTTTTTGAAGGATTTTGGTTCAGGTGAAAAATTGCAATTGTTATTAACAAAATGAGATTTAGAAAAAATGGTATATTAATTTTTCGTTTATATAATTTGACGTTGAAAATAGGGTTCCGCGCGGCTGTTACGGCATGCGCGCGCTGCTGCTAAAGAGAGTTTATCAAAAGAAATAATTTTTTATAACATAAAATGTCATTTTAAAAATTTGAAAAAAATCTAGTATCTTCTTAACACTTGAATGAATCGAGTCTTGTAGAAAAAACAGTTGTATCACCATTTTTCGAATAGTTATTCAATTATTAACTAACAAATTTTTCCCAATCTCCGTTGGCATAAATAATGGGATAAAAAATATAAATAATTGGCCTATGAATTTTAAACTTTGTGGATCCCTTTTGATATGTATACTTCATACGATCCTGGGATTTAAAAAAATTATTTCTTTTGATAAACTCTCTTTAACGACAGCGCGCGCATGCCGTAATAGCCGCGCGGAACCCTATTTTCAACGTCAAATTGAAATTATAAATAATGGAGATAGAGTTTCGGGAGTCAGGACTTTTTTATCGGAAGTTTCCTCCTTTTCAACGAACTTTTTTTTAAATTGACTAAACATTAATATTTTGTGAGTATTAACGAAAAATTAAATAACATTTTTTTATTTCATTTTGTTAATAATAATTGCAATTTTTTACCTGCACCAAAATCCTACCAAAAACATTTTTTTAGAGATGATTTCGAATCGAATGAGCTATCGCTCATATTTTTAGGACCTTCATCTCTATTTTTCATGTTTTTGAACTTGTTGATTAGACTATTCATTTTTTCACTAGGGGACCGCCAGTCCTCTTAATATAACTTTCACAAACAACACATCCATTATCGCACTGACGACCTTGTCGAATCCGTCGACATCCAGCCTGGTTACTGGCATAGGGGGCCGCCAGTCCTCTTAAAGTATCTTCCACTTCAATACATATAGAATTCGACCTAATTTTTTGAAAAACACCTCACTTTTGGACTCCACTCTCCACGTGCCACTTGCCACGTGCCACAGAAGATTAATCTTTTACGGCACAACCGTCCTCTATCGCCATTGGAGAGGAAGTCCCTGAAGTTGGCGAGTCAACATTATAGTTTTTCAAGAAAAGTTACCAACAGTGTATTAGTATAGACATCTACATATGTTTGCATGAGAGCTGGCAGCTGTATTCACGATATCTATAGTCAAGTGTTTTTGAACCTCACAACACGTGTTTTGTATTAGTCCGTATCGTGGTGACTGATATTATTTATTTTTATTTATTTATTCATTTTAAGATAATTTACTGTTATTATAAGTACTTATGATGCACTGTTTGGAACCTTTGGTGTAGTAATGAATATTACTGGAGTTTTTTCCCAACTTCAAAGAGTTTAATCTTCCTCTTTGAAGATGAGAACTTGGTGATCGAAACACGTGTCGAGGTGTTATAAAAATAACGATTTGGTGTTGGGAAAAAACTCCAGTAATATTCGTTATTATAAGTGATAGGGGTTTTTACATATTACTTTGAGTACGTTTCTAGAATTTGAGGTCAGTTAACGAAAAGTAGATATTATTTATTCACATCATAAATTAAAATAACTTTTTGAATTATCATTAGATATGTAATGAGTGTACAAATAAATTAATGAAATAATAATAGGTACCAGATATTCCAGATATTATATTAAATTAAATGTTTCTTTCTTAAAATACTCAATTTTAAAATTTCAAATAATGAAATTTATTGTCAGGTTGCCTCATACACAATACAACATGTCGATAGTATCAAAATTAATTTTAATAAATATATGGAATATATGAATAAACCTAAACTAATAATCAAATAAATCATAGCAAGAAATAATGTTTGAAAAAAACAAGTTTAACTTCTCACGCACAATCTCTTTCCTTCATCAAATAAAGTCAGTGGTGAATATGTAGATTGTCAGGTGTAGAAATCGGGGACTCTAAGAATATATGTACTATTGCTAACTCAAGCAAAAAAAAACAGATTTCAAATACCTTCAATATATAATACTCACCATCCAATACTTGTCGTAGATATTTCATTTCTCCCAAGGATTCGTACGAAAACTCATTGTTATGTCTGGCTAAAACCGTTTTAACCTCCTCTCTGACTTTGTCCTGAATGTTTTGATGACTGGCAAGTTCAAACATGCAAAATGTGAAAGATGAAGTACTCGTTTCAAAACCACCTATGAAGAGACCAAAACTGAGAGCTGCAACGTTGTTCATTGTAAGTTTGGGTCCTGGAAAAAAACAACTCAGGTGAATTTTCTATCAAATAAATTTATCAAAATGATGAACTTTGTGAAGTGTTATAGTTAGGGGAAGATATGAAAAGAGAGGGAAATAGTTTGTTTCTCATTGCTACGCCTGACAAGTTATTTTTTATGCATGTTGTTTTTATACTTGATACCATAATTACTTTGTAAAGTGTTACATATGGTCCTTCGCAAATGAGCTATTATTTCTCCAGGATGAAAAATGCTTATTGTGGGTTATCTCTAAGAGATGAACATATACCATCGCTGACTTTTTTGTAGACAATAGTGTAGTACATTTTTTGATTTATCTCGTAGGGTTCAGTCAGCGTTTGCAAAAAATATTTGTTTGAAGGTGGTTGACAATGTTTCGTGATGCATTTCATCAGTTCGGACTTCCATTGTCTAATATGATATAATTTGATTCCAAATCCCTAAACAAATCTGTAGAAAATTAAAAATATTAGCTGAAAAATAACAATTTTACCAAGCAAAAAACTGAAATTACACATAAATAACATACAAGCAACAACCAAAACAAATAAAAAAAATTGAACTATCAACACGAGCTGAAAATTGAAAAATTATTAACACCAATTGAAAATTAAAAGATTCCAAAGCAAGTTACTTCACGAAGTTTCGATTGTTAGTATTCACAATCGTCTTCGGGTGAACTACAACTTATTCCTCCGAAATCTGACTATTTATAGGTTATTCGAGTGCTTTCACTTAACCCCTCTTCCCTCTCTCCGCTTCATTGGTTTTAGCGGGTGCTGACCGTTTGGCGGGAGTTGGTCGTATACCGCTTGATTAGAGGTTTCCATATGTTACGTATCTCCACGTTAGCCTAGCTAGGCTAGCGTGGAAATACGTAACATATGGAATAGGCGTTGTTGGACAACATATACGCGGCTTATTTGAATTTTCTCCTAAACCAGTGTTCCTCTTTGTGGATGATTTCAGCTTGTGCCCACTTGATGTTATGTTGATGAGTCTAAACATGCTCTGCTATTCCGGATTTGCTGATGGTTTCTTCTCGCTGTGTGTGTTTTTTGTGCTCGGCAATGCGAACTTTCAATGGCCTCTTATGATAATAATAATAATATATAGATTGTCGTTCTATGTTTAGGAATTTTCAATAAGTTGCCGTGTCTGGTGTTATTTATATTCATGTTTCTCAGAATTACACGGATAATTATCTATATTCGGTTTGGCAAAGATAATACATCGAAAAATGTACACAGCAGGCACCGTAAGAATTTTATTTTCTTTAAAGATAGATCGACAACTGTCTTGATAATTCAAGTTAAAAATCAGTCTTACTAAACGCTTTTGGGAAACAAACAGATAAATCGACTCATTGAGTCGATTTATCTATTAAATAAAACGCATCAATATTCCTTGCGTGGTTTCAAAGATCTAAGCATACGTAGGAAGGGACAGCGGGAAACGACTTTGTTTTATACTGTGTAGTGATTTGAAAAATATAAGTATCAAAATGTAGTGAAAGTAAAGTTTGGTGTTTGAACCAGCCATGTATCAACAAGATACTCCAATTGAAAATAAATGTTATCACTTTACAATTCACTCTATCGCGTACTTGTTATATGCTCAAGAAGTTTGACCAACATGAAGTGCTCAGTTTTGAAAAGTTCTGAGCTTGAAGTGAAAAAAACTTGTTTGTAATCTTCAAAAAATTGTTAATATTTCAAAACAACTCGAAAGCAACGATTGCAGTCAACGTTTCTTCTTGCATATCATTGAAAGGCTTCTAATAACATGTTTTTGTATACGATCTCAACAATTTCAAGCATCATTCACTCATTCTGCGGCCGTTCTTCAAGGCATGTTGAGCAACATTGGGTTCCTCTGGTCTAAGAAATCGAATACATAAACTATATTCCTTGAAGTGTGTTACTGTAGTCCGATTAGTTTGACCAATATAGTTTTGTCGCAGTCCCTACAGCTTATGTTGTGAATCCTCTTTCACCATCTTGTCTTCGAGTTGCCCAACACTTGCCGAAGTGTAGAAATAGTTTTAAAAGTTACTTTCATATTGAATTTTGTGAAAGTCGTAGTGTGGCATATCTAGTCGCAGTGTGGCATATCTAGTTTGTGTGAATCAGGGTTTGAGCGTAGGCGTTTACTGACCTGCTCAGGAAGAGTTTGTTTTTTCTTTTGAAGCAGATTCTGGCTTTGCTGCTAAATAATTTGGTTCAAAGGAATAAATCGTTTCCTGGGTGCACCACCAAGCCTTCTAGGTTTGTTAACACGAACAACAGTTGGAAAACTGAGAAGCGGGGAGAACAGCGGAGTAGGTTGATTGGTATATATCAGCCATACATCCTTTCAGCACGAATACACACCTTAGGTAAGGCTGCCGTTTGAGAAGACTCCTACTTTCACTATTACAATGCCCCCCGCTGCAGTTCTACTGGATGATTTAAAAAAATATGTTCAAAATGTTTTTCCGTTAACCAGCTATTGCACCCCTACGAACGACAATTCTCAAATTCAAAACTTGTGAGAGCTAAGGACTAACAAGGTCTCACCTTTTAACGTGTGATTTCTAACACGGGTTGGACGATAGCAAGTGAAAATCGATCATTCAGCCTGCGGCTGGAACCCTCGATATACACATCGGCCGATTGACTGAGTGAACAAAGCACTCACGTCGTACCGCCTGTCTACCGATCGACTTATGGTGTTGAAAGATATTAACAGACTCTTTTCATAAACCAGAACTGCAATGTTCCACCAACCAAGTTGACGTCATTATGCTAATTAACTAGGTATAGCTTATCTCCTGATAAACGGTGTTTGTGTGAGTATCACCAGATGGTGACAAAAATTCGATTCTTTTATTGAAGGGTAAATTTGCGCTATCAAATTGAATTCAGATATATGTAGATTTTTTTCATAAATATCAGTATCTTGTTTGTCGAGAACACCGCACATACGATACAAACTGTACTTGTGAGGCACTGTTTGAAACCTTTGATGTATTAATTAATATTATTGGGGTTCTATCCCAACACCAAGCCGTTATTGTTAACACCTCGACACGTCATTCAATCGACAAGTGATAATCTTCAAGAGGAAAATCAAACTTCGACTTCCTCTTGAAGATTATCACTTGTTGATTGAAACACGTGTTGAGGTGTTAAAAATAACGGTTAAGTGTTGGAATAGAACTCCAGTGATATACATAATTACAAAATTGGAAACGTTGGTTTACTCACCATTGGAAGATATTTCGTTCTTGTTTTTCAAATTCATAAGCAACTGAAGAAAATCGTTTCTTTCCACGTTTTGTGCTTTTCTTTTTTGAACAGTATCACATATAACATTTGTGAAAAAATCGCCAATATCTTTGTTCTGCTGTCTCATACCCATTTTTCTGGCGGCGTTTGGAAAGAATATACCAAAAAGCATCCTCAATTGCGATTTTCTATCGGTTTCCAACGCTTGTTTTGAGTAGTGAATGAACTTCTTGTCTGGGTCTGTAAAACCTCTGCATTTGATTCCCAGTGTAGAGGACCCCACTGAGTCTACTGCAAAAGAGGCTGAAAAAGGAAGTTTGAATGACGTACTCAATCATATATTACTTATTGATGACGGCAATACATTTCTCTACTTTCCACAAACTCACTTTTTTTCTCAATTTTCCAGTTTCAATTCTAGTTCAATATTTTGTTGTTGAAAATAAAACTTACAGGCTATATCTTTTACATTCACAGGCTGAGAGCCGTTCTCAACTAGAGAGGCGACGTAGTTTTCCAAACTTTCAGCACAAGCCAACACATTTGGAAACATTCCTTTCAATTTAGCGCCCGAGAAAATTGTCGATGACTGTTTCCGTAGAGTTTTCCATCTGTCTCCATCAAGGGCTGGAAATGAATATATTTTGAAATACTTAAATATTTTTCATTCAATTTGTTATTAGGGAAAACAGTTAAACGTCTTTTCTTGTATCAACTATAAATAACATGACATTATTATTCTGCAGAGCATCTTACATAAGAGGTGAGCGCTTATGGGATCATCCTTTTCGTTGAAGTAAAACCCTCTGTCAACAAAGTGTTCAAAATCTTTGATGCAGATGTTCTTCAGCAATTCCAAGTCAACAACGAAGTAAGTGGGATCTGCCAGTTGCCAGATTCCACAGTGCTTGTAACCTGAAAAAATATAGAGACATTAGATTGTGCTTCAATTTGTTAAAAAACAATTATTTTCACAAGTTATATGAAAATCTGTTTTGAGATTCTTCAACTTTTTTTTCCTGAAAATAATAAACATGATTGAGCACATTCATTAGTATCCCGATAGAAATGTTTTCTATTCCTGTTGAAAAAAAAACCTTCGAAAACAAGCTTTTGTTTGGATCCTCTGAAAAGATGAAAATAACAATATATCAAATAAAATAGTGAATAATAATAATGAAAAACTTTTAAAAATCAAACACAAATAGAAAGAAACGGTATTATTGCACATATCTAATGAGTAAAAAGGATTAGCCAATGCTACATTCTACATGTTGACAAATACACCTCTCGTAGTCATATTTGTACACTCTATGAATGAAATTGAGGAATAACGTGTCAAACTTCGAAAAATACTTGATATTTGTTTGAAACATGCCCTTTTCTCATTTTGAGACGATAGGAAACACCCACACACAAACACAATTCATAATTACACAAAAAATTTAAGGTAGCTTCAAATTTCGAGAAAAGAGAAGATCTATGACTTAATTCAAGTAACTTTCAACTGATATCATATACAACACTGTTGACATCAGTTACCGATATTTAAGTTGTGAAAATTAAAGATGCAGAGCTATAAATATAGTAAATATATGCAAAATCACCGATATTGATTTTCACGAAAATCTCTTTAAAACTATAAAACTCATCATCTCAGATTTGTTTGTTCATTATTCCCAATATGTCATTAGCAACTATTGAAATGAATGAAGTTATCGATTTTTTTCCGATATAATGTCTCATGACAATCTATAACGAAACATCTGTTTTTCAAATGTGTGTTTGAGATAAATGGGTAGGTATTTTTCTTAACTGATTTCGATATACTTATCACCGCACAATGTATTAGTGTTCAACTGATTATAGCACAATTTCATTGTAGGGTGTTTTGAATAATACCAAGCTAAAAATGGAGATTTGATGAAAAGAAAAATACTTTTTTACAAGAATAATGTAAACATACATTTTAATAACTAAACAAATTTACAGGCCTAGCACTATTGTTACTGTAAAGCCTTCTTCGGGAACCTAGTAGGACGAATAGATCAGCAAAACGTCATTGCATTTTGTCATTTCATTGATAGATTCGATCTCCTCAAGAAGTGCATTGAAACTATTTTCTTCGTCGTTTAATCAGTACGTCAAACAGAAATAAGTTCATTTTGGATAATCTTGTCACCGTTAAAAAAAGTTGTGATATGTGGCCATTTGTTTCCAAAATGTGTACTTCGGCACGAATATTTATCATATACAAGTTGATTGACCTTTCGTACTGGCTTGGTATATTTTCTTACGATTTAAAGTAGTACGATAATGCGTACGATAAAGCATTACATAATGCTAGCAACGCAACTTTGAGTATTGAGTTGTGTTGTAAGTTACAGACCACCTAAATTTTAACTTCGGTACCTAAAAAGCACCTAAAAAGTACCTAATTTTGGCATTTTGTAAATGCTATTTCCGTACTTTGCGTCGCTGGCGTAACAGAGCTCATTCCACCCAGTTCTGAACAAGATAGAACCACCTTTCAAATGTAGACCAATTGTCTGGCTGAACACTTAAATCATTGAACATCTTCAATGTTCAGTAATATTATAGATGATCAATTCTGTTTTTCCGTTAATCAGCTGTCGTCCCCATACGAACGAAAACTCTCAGAAGTCGAGAAACTTGTGCGAGCTAAGGACTAACGAGGTCTTACCTTTTAACGTGTGATTCCTAACACGGGAAAGTCTTCGGGAAAAACCTTAACGACCCAGTGCTTTTTCGTTTCTCCTATCTGTTTCTTGTAACCCATTTCAACAATTTTCTACCCTGTACTATTTTGTACAGATCCCTTGCTGGACGTATGCTTTATATAATAAGCACTGGATCACACGCTACCATACGCTAGTAGTACTGTATACAGCAGTATACAGTACAGTACAGTACTGTACTGTATACTATACTGTATACGAAGTATTTTGGTACTACTTTGTACAGATCCCTTGCTTGACGTATGCTTTATATAAGCACTGGATCACACGCTACCAGACGCTAGTAGTACTGTATACATCAGTATACAGTACAGTACCTATAGTATACAGTAACAAATTATACGAAGTATTTTGGAAACATTAATATTATGCCAATATTCACTTGCAAGTTTTTCCAACTAAACTAGAAAATATGAGCAAAACTACGAAAGCGTTTTCAATCAAGTTGATACCGACAGAAAACTATTGAATTAATTGTCATCTGAAATTACTAAGCATTTTTTAGTTCATCCACAGAATATTCCTTTTATTTACTGAATATTCAACCATTTGTAAGATGCTAGTTTCACCAACAGTTTATTCATTTAAAGAGAGATTCTTCATGTTGCATTTTCATGAAAATTTTGAATTTTCAGGAGAGTTTCATAACTTTTCATATGACAATCATGCCGATGGAATGGATATGACTTTGGTTCCTTGTTTCATATCGAGAGAAAAGAACAGTTCATATTTCACCCGGTTTGCAGTCAAATCTAGAGAAAGAGAAAAAGCGAGAGAGGGTATTACGTTTGATTGCTTTCATCAACAAATTTTCTCCACAATTATATCCAATACTTGATATTTCGTTACAAAAAGTGTACTAACTGGTAATTATGTTTCTGCAACAAACTATGAACAAAAGTTTTTGAATTTTTCAGAAGAGCTGTATGAACTTTCTGTGTATAAATGGAACCTGCTGCTGAAAACCACGTACCAAAGAGTTTTTTGAAAATTCCTTTAAACTTCTCATTTTTTTTCTTATGTCAGGTGTCAGAACAAAAATAATGAATCAGTATATATTACAAATGTAAATTTACATCATCTGTTCAGAATTTCCTACCAAAGTCAATATCTGTCCTTCTTCAAAAGTAACAGAAAAACTTACCTCTTTTCTTACATTCGTTGTACATCATTGTTAGCTCTTCTATCCTTGATATTTTTCTTGTCAACATATTCATCAAACTGCCAAATGGAATTGATGGTTCCAGAAAGGGTATGTTTCGCCTTTTCCAGTAAAGAAAACTCCATTTATAGAAGGCTATCAGGACCAAAATCAAGAAGACTATGACAATCACCAAGTGTGACAGAAGAGGTAAGATAAACATTGTTTTTTCTGAAACGAATGTGTATTATATCAGGTGATGAATTTCATTAATGTTGAAAAATGTCAACAAAGCAGATAAAATAATAATAATAATAATACATTTATTATTCACAACAAATCCACAAACAATATTAAGTTTCAATTAAAAGAAAGCTGGCTAAATAAAAGACGAGAGTTCAGTTTCCTTTCAACACCAGGAAGAGAGAAATTGGTCTTCCACTCAGACCCTTACTAAAAACTGAACTTAAAACTAAAATATATTCACTGACTAGTAGAAAAGCAAGAGAAAAAAATATAAAAGAGAGAGAGAGAAAAGATAGGAACCCTTTTTATAATTTATTTTCACTTGTGAAGGCAGTGGTTCCTTTAGGCCATGAAACTGCTAGGTTACATGACGACGCTGTGAGAGTTTCATTTTTTGCTCTGATTTAGTAGATATTTAATTTTTTTTTTATTTTTGTAGTTCACACAAACATACAGTTATGGACTTTTTCAAAGAGAATCACGACCTACTGTAGTCGGTTATCTTGTACGTATTCATGTAACTAGTAATATTATATAAAAAACTACGTTTGGAAATTTCCTTTCTATGTCGATAAATGGCGATAAAAAAAGTTTTTCGAGTATTTCTATCATGTATGTCTTTTCTTTACATGACTTTATCATGGAGATAGTTGGGTTGCTTGTATTTCAAAAGTTTATATAAGTAGCAAAGGATATGTAGTTTAGGCCTGTTGGGCATATTGAGCCAATCAATTTCTTTAATTTTATGGGAAATTCTCAGGCCTCCTCTTCATGACAAAAATAAATCCCAAACAGTAGTTCTGAATTTTCTGAATACGCTGACTACCCACATCATCTAAACACAGAATTTTTTACATCATGGTCTAAATAGTCTCTATGTAGCTAAATCATCTTCAAGCTGGTGTAACTTCATTTCAACATAACAACAACAAAAGTTTGTAGAAGTAGGAAAGGATATGTAGTTAACGCCTGTTGGGCATATTGAGCCATTCAATTTCTTTAATTTTATGGGAAATTCTCTGCCTGCTTTTCATGCCAAAAATATGTCTCAAACAGTAGTTCTGGATTTTCTAAATAAGCTTACTACCCAGCCCATCTAAAAACCGAATTTTTTCACTAAAAGGTATTGTGTCATTTCCCAACCTCAGTATCAGATTCCTGAAATTGTCATTACAGAACAAAATAGCACATGACTTTTGAGGAATTATTTTGAGTAGATGTTTATCACATAAGTCTTTTAAAGATTGTAAGTCGATATTTATATCTGTGTTAGTTTGCATGACATTATTGAGTTCAAAGGTTTTATATATCTATGTGTCATCAGCATACATGTGGTAGTTCCAGTGCTGCAGAGTCTCATAAAATGTTGCAATAAATAAGATGAACAGAAGTGGACCCAAAATACTACCCTGAGGAACACCGCATGCTACATGATCAAAATTAGAAGTTATATCGTTCACAGTAACACGTTGAAGTCTATTTGATGAATATGAAGTGATAAGTTTGCAAGCATTTTGGTCAAACTTTATGTAGTGAACTTTAGTATTTTGGTCAAACTTTGAGTAGTGAACTTTAGATAAAAGAATTCTGTGGTTTATCAAGTCAAATGTTTTCTAAAAGTCCAGTAGGATGAATACAGTTACTTTATTTTCACAAATACCTTTGATAATGTCATCCGTTATATTTGGACTCACACAACTGTAACCAGATCTGAATTTTAAACTGTTCAACAAAGATTCGTATTTGTATTTCCATTTAATTTCTAGAACTTTGGGCAGAGTAAGAAGAATATTGATCTGAGGTGATTGAAGTCTTTTGGTTGGTTCACTTTCGGCAAGGGAACTATGTTGGCCAATTTCTAGGCAGAGGGAAAATAAGACTTTAAAATACATTCATTTATTATATGTGAAATTAAAGTGCAGTTAAAGCAGTACTTATATTGTTGTTTTCTTCAAAGCCATACAATGATAAAAAAATTGATGGCTGGGCCGCTGAAACATATTTTTAAAAGCGATAAAACTGACAGATATTTCAGGAAATAATCTCTACGAATATCACTCGACCTGAGAATTATCTCAGATAAATATTCATTTTCAATATCAAACTTTAGCATTTTTGAACAACACCAATCGAGCTCTCATGGTGTTACTAGCTAACAAAGTTACCGATAAAATTTCAAGGTCTTGCGGTATTAGTTTCTACAATTTATTTTCTTGTTGAAACTCTTTCAGGTTACACTATTCCTCACTTGCTAGTAGCCCCTTCATTCAATTTTCGAGATTGCGATATGGAAGTCTTTGATACCTTGAGGTAATGTATTGAATAGAACTGTATCATTATAAACAAGAGATACTATGAATATAGAGGTTGAATGTTTGGGAATCGTTAATGAATGTTTGCTCCTTGCATAATTTGGTGATCCTGCTGATCAATCTTCTGTGAGTAAAAACCCACACGCCATATGGGAGGGAGTCTATGAATTGTACATAGGATATAATACCATCAACATATTTGTTTTGAAGTAGTGTTTTGAACACATCATTGACGAAAAACCTGAATGAACTGACCTGATTTCTATCCCATCAAGAAATCATTTCATTCATGATCGAAAAAATATTGTCTTCTATGTCTTTCTCCCCAAATGTATTACCGGAAACTGATGGTATTATCATCAACGAATGGTATTTCGGGAGATCATTTATGTGAATAAGTAATGGTCCTAAAAGTGGCCCTTGAGATTTCAAAGCGGACTATCTTGAATTTTTTATATATCTCATTGAGGGTCATTATCACATTCCTATCAGACATAAATAACTAAACTATTCAAGGAAAATCCCTTTAACCAACATTTTATAATTCTGTAATCATCATAAAATTATTACCAAATATTTCTATTTCTAAATATTTCTACAGATGATTCTGTAGAAATTTATTCGAGTGATATCTTCACTGTATTAAATTATGACCAAGTTGTCAACACATTCGGTTCACTAACTTGTAAGTGAAACAATAGTTCATTTTGAAAAGCATTCAGTAATAAATCACTTGAAACGAATAATTCCAATAGCATGATAACTTTTTGTACAGTCATATTTAAAGATAATAGATCATCGACAATATTCAAGACTAGGAGGAGAAATTCAAGCACTTTATTTTCGAAGGAAAGTAAGGGAAAAATAGATCATAATTTCTGGATCAGGATTTCGTGGGACTACTGGTCCCAGTCTACAAATTGAACTAGCTACCGACTTCGTTGAAAATATTAATTGCAGTGGTGCTAACAAAGATTTCAGGATAATATTTATGGAATTCACATTACCTTTGCATTAGTCTTCTTTCAGAAATTTTGAAGAACTGCAAACATAATTCATATGCTGACGATACACAAGTATATCCAACGAAAGTCATTTTTTGTGGAGGAAAAAATCAGTTTTTTATCGACCTTTTTTGGGTAATTGTTACCTACCACAATCTGAAAAATATAAAAATTATAATGGAGAACTTTATACAAGTGTAGAAGGGCAAACTTTTCAGTTTACCCCGATAAGTTACTGCCTAAAAGTCAAAGTATTTTTCACAAAGAAAAATCTTCTATTTATCAGTAACTTGTCGTATTTAACAATTTTGCCTATCAAAAAAATTATTAAGAAATAATACTTATCTTTTACGTTTTACGAAACGTTTTACGAAACGTAAAAGATAAGTATTATTTCTTAATAATTTTTTTGGTAGGCAAAATTGTTAAATACGACAAGTTACTGGTAAACAGAAGATTTTTTTTTGTGAAAAATACTTTGATTTTTACGCAGTAACTTATCGGGGTAAACTAAAAACTTTGCCCTTCTAGACTTGTACAAAGTTCTCCGTTATAATTTTTATATTTTTCAGATTGTGGAAGGTAACAATTACCCAAAAAAGGTCGATAAAAAACAAGTATATCATTCTTTCTCAACCATTGAATTTGATGAAGGCTAACAAGTAACTCTTAATTTGAAAAATTTATATAAATTGACCATCATTGGCATCATACTACAAAACAGAAATGCCCTCACTATATTTTGAAATATACTTTCAAACATACAAATATATATTTTCCAATTATTCTATTCACATAAATCCTAGTTCTACTTCATATCTCCGGGAGTGTTAGAAACGGAGTTAGAAAAACAAGCATCGTGATAACTTAGATGGCCTGCTTTACTCTTAGAAGTAATATGTACTTTTGTATTGTTGTGAACTTTAAATAATAAACTCATATTTACTTACATTTATCTATTGAAGAAACTATATTTGTAGATCTATACTAATATTATAAATATGAAAGTTTGTGACGATGGATAAATGTATGTATGTATGTAACTCTTTCACGCCTAACCGATTGAACGGATTTAGATGTAACATAAGTACAGCTTATGCATCAGAATAACATAGGTGCTAAAATTTACGAAGGTTTTGTGTGATTTTGGTCATAATATAACGATGACTATCACGTGAGTGGGAAATCTTGCTCCCTGAGAGCTATTTTGGCTTGCGCTGCCTATACCTTTGGAGTTATATGCAGATAATATACCGTAAGATTTTTTTTTGATAGTTCTAAATGAAAGTATGCGATAGCATATAACTACCTCTTATGTGGTAGCTACTATATGCAAAATACTGAGCCTTAAATACAATTGAATTGGATACATTTTTTACAATGCACATTTTAGAATCTCTGTCAAATTCTTATAAAAGTTGATACAATTGTCGTTTTAACTTTATCTGTTACACTAAGTAATTTGGACGGATCGTTAAAAATTTATCACGATAAGAACAACTTAACGCAACCCAGTAAGCCATTACGTGTCGCGTCTACTGTAAGACGACGGGGGACGATGCGCGAGGGTAGATGGGCAGTCTAAGCAATGAACTATAATCGCCAAGACGCCGTTGACGGTTGTATTAGTTTTGTGAAATTTTCTCATCTGTTTTAAAAATCTGTTTTA